CACCAAGGCTCTTTGGGGGACGTTGGAGACATAGACTTTAAACCAGAGATATTTTTATTAGGGATTTTGCCCGAAACATACAATAGAGAATTGAGATATTTGATTGTGAATGTATTAACAGCGGCTAGAATTGTGTTTGCTAAAAATTGGAAAAATGAGAAAATACCAACGCAGGATGAAGTTATTAAGAAAATGATGGAATGTGCTGAAATGAGCAAATTGACGTTTGAAATCAGAGAAGAGGAAGATCAACAGTATTATATGATATGGGATTTATTTTATCAATGGCCAGATAATAAAACATGGAAATGAAATATGAAATAAATGTAATAATATAATACATGAAAAGGATTTTTATGGGACGAAAACGCCATTGTTAAATAAACGACCAATGAGAATAATAATATAAAGATATGAGATTGATAATAGGAGAAATTATTTGAGAAATTTCGTCAGGCCCTGAAAACTTATTTATTTCGCCTAGCCGGGCTGGCTTGATCCCACAGTTTTGGTTAAATTTAATTTATTTTAATTGGGTTGTTTTAATTTGCGGCCAAAAATATTTAACTATTTTAAAACTGTTTTTAAATTTTGTATGTTCTGTTTTATTCTGGCTGCTCACCGCCCTGAGTCTTTGGAGAAGGGCGGTATACAAATTAAAACAAATAAATAAATAAAATAAAAATAAATAAATTAGAAAGTTAGTAAATGATGAATAGGGGATGAAGCACAAAAGATTTGTAACCGACCGACACACGGTCTGCAATTGTAATGGATGATGGATATTTTATGTTTTGTTTAAAAATAAAAAAAAATTGTTTAAAAAAAAAAAAAAAAAAAATGGGGGGTAGGAGAAGGATGGTTGGTGTTTGGATCTCAGCAATTTCAGCCGGATGGGGGTGACTCAACCCAGGAGTTGTTGGCAACAAAACCGAACTTCTCGACGATTGGCAAAGAGACCAATTGCGGTGATAAAATGAGTTTTGAGTTCTGATTGATGGCATCTGGTCTACAAGCGACTCAGCTCAGCCGAGCTTTTTAATACTTTTTTCTAACTACTATTATTATTATTATTATTATTATTATTATTATTATTATTATTATTATTATTATTATTATTATTTGGGATTAGTCCTTTGCAAATGGAGTCGTTTTGGGGCCTCGGTAGGAAATGAGTGATTGGGAGAAGCAGGGGAAGATCCCCAGCTGTCTCTTGCACTTGTGGTCCAGGTAGGGCAGAGATAATTTTAAATTTGTTCAGCCAAATTATTTAATTCGTTTTTATTTTATTTTAAATTTTTGTATTTATGTGTTTTATCTTGTGGCTGTTCACCGCCCTGAGTCCTTCGGGAGAAGGGCGGTATAGAAATTTAATAAAATAAAATAAATAAATAAATAATTCCCATGTTCTGAAGGACCCAGATCCGGGTCTTTGCAGAGTTGTCCAGAGGCTGACCCCATTCCCATGTTCTCTGTGTGACGGCAGAAAACGGGAGGTAGCGAAGACTTTGGACCTGTCTGTGGGCTTCCTCGGTGTTGTCTGAGCTGCGTGGTTTTCTTGTAGATGTTTCGTGACCCAATTAGGTAACATCGTCAGTGTTAGAAGCAGTGGTGACATTCAATTTTTTTTTTACTACCAGTTCTGTGGGCGTGGCTTGGTGGGTGTGGCAGGGGAAGGATACTGCAAAATCCCCATTCCCTTCCCACTCCAGGGGGAAGGATATTGCAAAATCTCCATCCCCACCTCACTCTGGGACCAGCCAGAGGTGGTATTTGCCGGTTCTCCGAATTGCTCAAAATTTCCGCTACGGGTTCGCCAGAACCTGCTGGATTTCACCCCTGGTTAGGAGGGTTTGTGAAGAAGGAGAAGAGGTGGCTGTGGGGTCCTCGGTTGTTTGCTTGTAGACATCTCATTACCAAGCTAGATGGCATCATCAATGCTGGAAGAAAGAGGATTTTGCAAAGTGGAGGAGGACTGTGGGGTCGGTGGTGCTCTCTGAGGTTGGCGGTTTTCTGGCAGACATTTTATTACCAAACTAGGTAACATCATCAGTGCTAGGCTTATTCAGCGCTGAGTATTGGTACTTTAGAACTGGTTGCTTGGCAGTGCCCGCCCAGCAAGGACGGCGGAGAGGTTTAGAAGCCTTCTGGGTGGGGTTGGCCCTCTGGATGGCCTGGGAGGCAGGGCAGGGCCACGAAACCAGAGAGGCAGAGAGGCCTAGGTAGGCGGACGGAGGCTTCTTCAGATCTTTATCGGCTTCAGCTGGCTTCGAATGGAAAGGAGGAAGGAGAGAAGGACAAGAGAGAGGGGGGAAGGGAAGGAAGGAAGGAAGGAAAGAAGGAAGGAAAGGAAGGAAGGAAGGAAGGATAAATAGCCTCTCTTTCCAAAGAAAGAGGAGAAGGAATGAAGAGAAGGATAAAAGGAAAGATGGAGGGAAGGAGGAAGGAAGGAGAAAAGGAAAGGGAAAAGGAAAGGGAAGGACGGAAATGCTCAGGAAAATAAAAATGAGTATCCCTTTGGAAACAGGCATATTCTCTCTCTGTGTGTGTGTGTGTGTGTGTGTCTCTCTGTGTGTCTCTTTCTCTCTTTTTCTCTCTCACTTTCTCTGTCTCTGTCTCTCTCTTTTTCTTTCTCTCTCTTTCTCCCTCACTCTGTCTCACTCTGTCTCTCTCTTTTTCTTTCTCTTTCTCCCTCACTCTGTCTCTCTCTGTCTCTCTTTTTCTTTCTCTCTTTCTCACTCACTCACTCTCTCTGTCTCTCTTTCTCTCTCTTTCTCACTCACTCACTCTCTCTGTGTCTCTCTCTGTCTCTCTTTCTCTCTCTCTCTCTCTCACTCACTCTCTCTCTCTGTCTCTCTGTGTTTGTGTTCAGGGTGTACAAAAAGGAAAGGCCCATTCAAACCATAAAAGCTACTGGGGCGGGGGGAATGTTCGGACAGCTTCCCAGGGCCTTTGTCTGGGCGTGATTTTGGGGGTCGGGGGTCCCAGAGTGGCCCCCTAGGAAGGTAGGAATCTGATCCGGAGCCCGGCTGCCAAATGAGCCAGCCGGGAAAGTGGAAGGCATGAATTCAGCTCCTGGAGTGGGTGGAGTGGCTGAGGCTATTTACAGGACTGGTTTCATTAGGAAAGTGGGAATTCTTGCACTTAATTGCCCAGGAGAAATTGGAGCATCTGGGAATGGAGATTGTGAATATTGTGTTCTGCATAGCATAGAGACTGAGCCTTCCTTCCCTTCCCTTCCCTTCCTCTCTCCTTTCCCTTCCTCCCTCCCTCCTCCTTCCTTCACTTCCTCTGCCTTCTTTCCTTCTTTCTTCTCTTCCTCCTTCTGTTCTTCCTTCCTCTTCTCCCTTCTTTTTTCTTTTTCCCTCCCTCCCTCCTCTTCCTTTCCTTCCCTCCCTTCTCTTCCTCCCTCTAATTCCTTCTATTCCCTTCTTCCTTCTCTTCCTCCTTCTCCACTTCCTTTCCTTTCTCTTCATCTCCTTCCTTCCTCCTCCACTCCATCCTTCCTCCTTCTCTTCCCCCTTCCTTCCTTCCTTGTTTCCCTTTCCCTTCCTTCCTTCCTTCCATCAATCATGTTAAAGAAGAAGCCGAAACTCCCTCCATAGAAAAGGACCATTGGCAACCTTGTGATGTCTCCCCATCACTCTCACGATGAAGCACCATCACGCCGGGTACCAGATTACGGCCCTTCTCCCCACCCCCATTTTTCTGTGCTTCTCACCCTGCCTCATCCTTGGCGTGAAAGTTGGGGGTCTCTTCCCCCCGCCCCCCAATGTTGCTTCTTCCAATCTTTGAGCCTGCCCTGTGTCTTATCGCCATCTTGGCAACCCGTCGGCTTTCCCTCCAGATCGGCTCATCCTTCAAAACCCGCCTCAGTTTTTTCATTCAGTTTCCTGCATTCTCCATTTTTCCTTCTCTTTGCAAGGGAAGAAGACCCCCGGAAGTGCCCTCAGTTATAACCAAGTTTGTTCATTCTTAAAAGTGGAGGGGGAGGGGAAGCACCTCCCCTGAGTTTTTCTTTTGTCAGCATCCGACAGAGCTGAGTAACTCATCCTTGGGGGCGGAGGAGTTGTGTACCCGTCTCTCAAAAGCTTGCGCAGCTCTTCGGTTTGATTCATGTGGGGAAAGTGTCAACGGATCTTCCTCCTTCTCCTCCTATTGTGGGCACCCCTGTGCCGTGGGGGTGGGAGGGGGGAGAAGGGAAGGGGGTCGGGGAGGAGGGGGGCCTCCGACACAGGCGTTCATCTCGAGTGCCGGTGCCGTTTGTCGAACGGTGTGGTTTGGGGGTTTTGTGCTCGCAAACAGGTGCAAAGGAGGCCACCGAGCAGCTCTCCGATTTTTGTTCAGAAAAAGGGAAGGTTGAAAGGCCCACCTTGAAAAACAACAACCCAAAATGGGGAGTGGGAGGGGTGGGAGGTTAGGTCTTCCTGGCCTGGGTTGACCTTCGACCGTCCGCTTGAACGAGAGGGAGTTTAGGCAGAGTTTGGCAACCAGGAGCCAACATAACACCCCTGCGGGAAAGTCTTGTCTGCAGATAGTTGTCCTCCAGCGAGAACCTCACCTTCACAGGGACTAGTGACATGACCCCACAATCGGGGCCACGAGAACCAAAGGATGTCCAAGCCAAAGATTCTCCTCTTCCTCCCCTTCTCCTTTTTCTCCTCCTCAACTTCCTTTTCCTCCTCCTCCTCCTCCTCCTCTCCACAAATCTCCCTCCCTTCTAGCACTGAGGATGTTCCCTAGCTGGTTCGTCTGCAAGAAGGCCACCAAGTTCAGAGAGCATCAAGAACTTCACAGTCCTCCACTCCACAAACCCCCCTAGCCCTGATGATGTTCCGTAGCTGGTTCATAAAACGTCTGCAAGAAGGCCACCAAGGAATACTACCCGTGTTTCCCCGAAAATAAGACCCTGTCTTATATTTTTTTTGAACCCTGAAATAAGCCCTTGGCCTTATTTTCGGGGAGGTCTTATTATTTGGGGGCGCATGGAGCAAGATGGGCTCCTCTTGCTGTCTTACCTGATTTCCAGCTCTGCGTTTAAATATTTTCAGGGAGGGCTTATTTTGGGGGGAGGCTTATTTTAGCTCATGCACTCAAAAGCCCGACTGGGCTTATTATCAGGGGAGGTCTTATTTTCAGGGGAAACAGGGTAACACTCTGTCATGCAAGGAAAAGGATTGAGGGGGCCACCCTGCGATGTCTGAGTAAGCCAGACTTGCCATCCTGGGTTAAAAGCCCCTTTTCGTGACCCCCGGGGGCCCAGAGTCCTCCCCCCCCCATCCCTCCCTTTCAAAACGCAGACCCCTCTGAAATAAAACCACGTTGATGGCAGAGAACGAGTGTCGCTTGTCACAACTGGACCTGCCCTCCTCTTCCTCGTTGACAGCACCAACTCCGTAACCAGACGGGGAATCATGGGTGGAAAAAAAAAACACCAATTCCAGACCACGCTGTACTCTTCACTTTCCCACACACACCCCTCGTTTGTGTGTGTGTATGTGTGTGCATCGATTTCGATTTGCAGCACCCCGTTGACCTCAGGTTGAAAAGTCGAATTTACCGGCAGGACCAATTTTTTTTTTTAATTTTTTTTTTTTTGGCTAAAAGTGAGAGTAACTTCTTACTGGCAGCTCCGTCAAGGAGGATCGACTGAGTAACTGAAAAGCTGACTCAACTCGGCTCCCCGAGGCTCGGCTTACCAGTATCGCTGTTTGAAGTCGAAGGGAAGAAAATATCTGGTCGTTGTGGTTTTGTGATGCCTTCTCTCTCTTGTCTTTCCGCTTGTTATTTTGTCATTACGGGGGGAGATCGGAGGGAGATAGCGGCGGGTGAGACGATGGGGATGGAAGATTGCGCACGTACGGTCGTCCTCGAGTTAACAACCATTCGTTTAGTGACCGGTGGCACCAAGGCACTGAAAAAAGTGCCTTCGGATCTGTGAGGTAGGTTCCTCGGTCTGTTTTCCAAAGAGCAGGCCGTACAGATCCAAGCCAAATGCCGGTGGATTTTCCACCCAGGTTCTCTACAGGTAGTCCTTGACTTATGACCACAATTGAGCCTAAAACTTTCCGTTGCTAAATGAGACGTGTTGAGTGCATTTTGCCCCATTTTATGACCTCGCTTGCCACAGTTGTTCAGCGAATCACCGCAGCGGTTATAGTTAGTAACACGGCTGTTAAGTGAATCTGGCTTCCCCGTTGACTTTGCTTGTCGGACGGTCGCAAAAGGGGATCGCGTGACCCCCAGGGACACTGCCAACGTCATAAGTATGAATCACTTGCCGAGCATCTGAATTTTGATCACAGGACCCTAGGGATGCTGCAACGGTCATAAGTGTGAAAATTGGTCATAAGTCACTTTTTTCAGTGTCGTAATTTCGAACGGTCGCTAAACAAACTGTTGTAACTCGGGGACTAGCTGTACTGCCCTTCTATCTTCCTGGCCTGGATTGTAGATCTGCTGCCTCCCTCCACAGCCTCTGTCTCAGATTTACACACAATTTTTGCTGGGATGCATGTCTTAGCAAGAGAAGGATGTTAGTTAAAAGGAGTGTTTGCCCCCAACTATTTTTTTTGGGTCTTGTGAAAGGCGCTAACAGCAATTGTGGGGTAAGGCTGCCCTCTGGTGGACTGTGGTGAGCACTGCAAGGTCTTTTGGCTAAGAGCTGGAGAACGGCTGTCTAATGTTGGTAGTTGACTTTCTCCAACAATTAGGAAAAAGGATCATCTGCAGATCCTGGTTTGATCCCTTCAGAACATGGCTTGTCTGTGTGCTGGTTCTCCCATCGCTTCACACGTGCTCCTCTTCCTTCTCCAACCTCTTCTTGTCTTCTTTTCCCCACACAGCCCAAATTGAAGTGATCCCCTGCAAGATCTGCGGAGACAAATCTTCCGGGATCCACTACGGGGTCATCACTTGTGAAGGATGCAAGGTGGGGAACGGTCTCCTCCATCGCTGGGATCTTGGGTGTTGCCAAAATTGTTCCTTCTTCCTTGCAGAAGATTCTCCTGGGTGGGAGTCAGGGAGGGAATACGGGGGTCAGGGAAGTAGATGCCCATAAATCTCTATTGAACCAATTTTGGCTCTCTTCACTAATGGACCACTGAGCTGTTGGACTTCACAAAGTTTTGTTGGCCACCAGTAAAGCTACTAAAGGTCCATCTTCTCAGTTCATCTTCTTGGCTTCCTCTCCAGGGCTTCTTCCGACGCAGCCAGCAAGGGAACGTGACCTATTCTTGTACTCGGCAACAAAACTGTCTGATCGACCGCACCAGTCGCAACCGCTGCCAACACTGTCGCCTGCAGAAATGTCTCAGCCTCGGCATGTCCCGTGACGGTAAGTCCCACGTTGAGAAGCACCTCAGGGAGGGTTCCTGTCGGGGAATTGCGCAGCTGGTGTCCGAACCAAGTTAGAGACGCTGAGACAAACTTGTAATTTGATGTAAATAAGCATATTTAACATCAGTCATATTGACAACAGAGAAGATAGTCAGGAACACACTAACATTCTGAGGTAAATTATGTGAGGTAAATCGCATGAGGTAAATCGCACAGCAATAAACAGAGCACACAGAAGAAAAAAGCGGGAAAAACAGAAACTCCCCTTTTACACCCACAGCAACCAATCATAGCGTAGATTGCCTCATGCAGGATCCCACACTCTCCCACCAATCAACCACAACTGTGTGTTCTAGGCCGTTTACTGTTCCAACTACTAAATTAAATATCTTAACAGTTCCCAAGTCTCATAAGTTTTTCCCGGATTTCTAAACACAACATCGTGCTCTCGGGTTTGGGGATGTTCCCTCTGTCCCTTGCCTCATTTTGGTGATGACACATTGCAAAATGGGTCAAGGAGGAGAAAAGAACCAGGTTGGAGATGTTGAGGAGCTTCAAGTGACTACTGAATAAACTTAAATTGCTCATGTTTTAAGTGTCCTGCATCATTTTTATCTCTAGAAAACCGTCCCCTAATTTGTCTTCTCTTCCAGCGGTCAAATTTGGCCGGATGTCCAAGAAGCAACGAGACAGCCTCCACGCCGAAGTCCAGAAACAGCTGCAGCAGCAACAACATCAAGGCGGAGAGAGTTCCACCTTCTCCTTGGGCATGGCCAACGGTCAACTCAAGCTGGACCCTTCTCTAGATCTCCGAGAAGGCTCCCCTGCTCTCCTCACTGGACAGACCCGCTTTAGCCAGTCTCCGGATGAGACGGCGGCCTTGGCCTACTCTAATGGACTCCCCAAGGCGCAGAGCCTCCTGGGTGAAGGTCAGCAGGACCTCTTCAAGAAAGGGTATGGTCCTGGAGTCATCAAGGTAGAACCCAGGACCAGCGTCTATTACGCTATGGAGACGCAGGCGTCACCAGACCTCCTGTCCCTGAATGCCAGCAGAGTGGAACGGACAGCAGCTAGCGAGACCCTTGACTTCTATGCCAACCCGAGCTTCACCAGCTTCTTGGAGTGCCCGCGCCCTTCGCTGACGGAGATTGGTGAGTGAATGGAGGTTTTCAGAAAGGCTGGAAGAAAAAGCAGTGTTAAGTGGACGATGGGACTCCTCAGCAGAATAACAAAGAGTTGGAAGGGACCTTGGAGGTCTTCTAGTCCATCCCTTGCTCAGAATACAGAATAATCGAGTTGGAAGGGACCTTGGAGGTCCTCTAGTCCAAGACAAAACATGGGGTTTTGAGCCCACCTCTCAAAAATCAGGCTTAGGGAAAGCAACAGAAGACAAGGCAGCTTCTGTGGGGTTCCGATTGCAGATAGGCGGCCATCTTGTTGTCTTCCTCCTGCTGCAGAGCACTTGACCCAGAATGTCCTCAAGTCCTACCGGGAGACCTGTCAGCTCTGCTTGGAAGACCTCCAGTTGCTGAGGTGGGAGACCTTCACCCGAGAAGAAATCGGGAGCTACCAGAAGAAGGTAAGATGGGGTTCCACCTATTCTCCGAGAGAAAGACCCCATCTTAAAGTTCTGTTTAAGGAGGAGAACTGTGGGGTCCTTGGTGCTCTCTGAGCTGGGTTGTTTTCTTGCAGATGTTTCACTAAGACGTTAGATAGCAACATCAGCGGTAGAAGGGAATGGGATTTGCAAGGAGGAGGAGGAGGAGACATCTGTGGGGTCCTTGGTGCTCTCTGAACTTGGCTGTTTTCTTATAAACATTTCATTACCCAACTAGGGAATGTCTTCAGTGCTCGTTCCTCTGAATCTTTACTCCCCTCTGTTTTCTCACAATCCACCCAAACTTCTTCATCATCATCTTCTCTCTCTCTCTCTCTCTCTCCCTCCCTCCCTCCCATTAAGACTATGGAGGAGATGTGGGAACGTTGCGCCTGCCGCATCACGGAAGCCATCCAGTACGTGGTGGAGTTCGCCAAGCGAATGGGGGGCTTCATGGACCTCTGCCAGAACGACCAGATCGTGCTTCTCAAAGCAGGTAAGGGGGGTGCGATGCCACAATCAGTTCCCAAAGGCTCTTTCTGGGTCCGGTTTCCACCACTGCCTTCGCAGTGGAGAGCAAACAGTACTTCCTTTTATGGTGTGATTTTAAGGGCCGCCTTGATGCCGGGTGGCTGAGATTCACACATTTTCTCTTTTTTTTTTCCTACGTCGTTGCGTTCGGCTTTGCTCGTAATGTTTTCGAAAAATTTTCGCCAACTAGAGAGCTTCTGATTGATTGGATTAGAAGTGCGAGAAAATTCCTAAAATTGTTCCCGCCCCAAAGACAGGGAGAGACCAGAACAGCCGTCAAAGGGTGTAGAATGTACCCATTTCGTTCTGAGCTGAGGAATTCGGCCAAGGTTTTTTCCCCAAAAAAGGAGGGATTGGCCGGGCTAATGTCATCTTCTCCCCACCTTCAGGTGCCATGGAGGTCGTTCTGGTGAGGATGTGCCGAGCCTTCAATTCTGAGAACCGGACGGTCTTCTTTGAGGGCAAATATGCTGGCCCAGAAGTCTTCAAATCTCTGGGTACGAGTGTCAGGATTCGGACCGATGCCCTGACTAAATCATGAGCCTCAAGCCAAACTTTAAAAGAAATCCAGTTATTTATTAGGAGCTTCATGTCGGCACGAACCAAGTGAGGCTAACTCTGACCTCACTTAATTCGTGCCTTGCTCTGACCCTGCTTACCCCCTCCCCCCCCAAGGTGTGTCATCGGTCACATTCCCCAATGAAGCAATTTCGCGGGTTGTAGAAGTCACTCCCTCCGGTTACTGTAGGTCACCCTGGAGATGACCTTGACGTTGCCGGCTGGAATGTGCTTTGTTTTGGCTGAAATTTAAGTTCCTCGATGCAGCTGCGAGGCTCGGTTTTCCCATCCCCCCTGCCTATGGCAACTTGAGAGCAGGTCAGGAATGCTTGGCGAGTTGACAACGAGAGCGTCCTACTACCTGGATCAAGAAGGACGGAATCCCCTGTAGGTTCAGGTTGGGGTCTAAAATAAGGTGTAGAAGGGGGTCTTGCAAGACGTTTTGGTGGCCTGCTACTTGAGTGGGCTTGAGGAACATCAACTGGCAGCAAGAGGTGATTGCAACTCCAGGAGTTGGTTTCCAAGATACATCTAACTTCCCCATTAAATTGTTATATCCTTCCTCTTCCTCTTCCATGTGCTCACTTCTTCCTCTTCCTCTGGCTCTTCTCCTCCTGCTCTTCTTCCTCTTCTCTTTTTCCTTCTCTGTCTCTTCCTCTTCCTTCTCCTTGTCCTATCTTCCTTCTTTTCCTCCTCCTCCTCTTTCCTCCTCTGTCTCCTCCTCTTCATTTTCCTCTCCTCCTTTTCTTCCTCTTCCTCCTCTTCTTCCTTCTCTTCTACCTCTTCTCCTACGTCTCTTTCTTTGTCTCCCCCTCCTCCTCTTTGGAGCGTGATTTGAACCACGAGTCTTCCTTTCTTCAGGTTGCAGCGAACTGATCAACTCCATCTTCGACTTCACACACAGCCTGTGTTCGCTCCACTTCTCCGAGAACGAGATTGCTCTTTTCACAGCCCTGGTGTTGATCAACGCAAGTAAGGACAAAGCTTTTCTGGTTGTGGAGTTAAAATTTGGCCCTCTTGTTCTTTTGACTGCACTTCATTGCTGTGGGTTTGAGGAGGTTGTAGCTTTTTTTAGTCAAAGAGAAAACAAAATTTAGGGGGTGGGGGTTTTGTTGTTGTTGTTGTTGTTGTTGTTGTTGTTTTGCCTTTCCCCGCACATTTGCCTCTCCAATTGTCTTGTGTCTTCTTCACTCGTCTCAAAAAAAAGCAAAAAGATTTTACACAAGAACTGGAAATGGATGGTTGGTTTTGCCAGCTGATCCTATAACAATACGGTAAGTACAAAGCTGCAAACCCTCCATTTAAACCGTCTCTGAAGAACAGACGGATTAAAAGACTCGGCCGCCGCACCATCTTAATAATAGCGAGAAAAGTTTAAAAGATTTAATTAAACAGTCAAGACGTCGTTTAAAATCAAGCAGCTGCTCCAGGAAGGCCGTGACCGAATCCGGCCTCCCTGAAACTTCGGGTCTGTGGGCTCTGCGTGGTTTTTAAGATTTTTATTTGCACGGCTTTAAAGTGCCAATTGCTTCTCGGTCTTTTTTACGATCTGTAAGCCATCCTGTAGGGAGGCGGTGGCTCAGTGGCTAAGACGCTGAGCTTGTCAATCAGAAAGGTCGGCGGTTCGAATCCCTGCTGCGGCGTAACGGAGTGAGCTCCCATGACTTGTCCCAGCTTCTACCAACCTAGCAGTTCGAAAGCACGTTTAAAAAAAATGCAAGTAGAAAAATAGGCACCACCTTTGGTGGGAAGGGAACAGCGTTCCGTGCGCCTTTGGCGTTGAGTCATGCTGGCCACAGGACCACGGAGACGTTTTCGGACAGCGCTGGCTCTTCGGCTTTGAAACGGAGATGAGCACCGCCCCCTAGAGTCGGGAACGACTAGCGCATATGTGCGAGGAGAACCTTTACCTTTAAGCCGCCCAGAGTCACCTTATCCAGAACACGAGCGGCCTATAAATTTAATAATTGCTTAACGCATTGTAAGCCGCTCTGAGTCTCCGGAGAAGGGCGGTGTCAGCATCTCAGCGCTGACATAGAAAAGGGAGGATGAAGCCTGAACTTTTGCCTGCTAAATCCCTTTGAAGATTCGGTCTCCTTGGAGATGAGGAGGGGGGAAACATTCCTGTGAACTGACGGGGAAAGGAATCAGGAGAGTGACTTGGAAGATAGCCAATGAGAAGCAGAGAATTGGGGATCGGAAAGGGAGGGATTGGGGGGCAAAGGTCAGTATTGACCGCGAAGAGCCAGGATCCGGTTGCTGTGCTCGAATAAAGAGAAAATTTCCTTAAAGATTGGCAGTTTGGAAGTTCATTTATTTTGAGATAGGATCGAAACCTGACAGGCGGCATATAAATCAAATTTAAAAAAATAAATAAATCAAAAGGGCTCCACCAGATCCTGGGGGGTGGGGGCGGGTGCCGACCTCTGTGGCAGCTTTGATTTTGCAAACGGACTGAGGCCCCAGCAGGTTTCTCTCTCCGTTTTGCAGATCGCCCGTGGCTGCAAGAGAAAAGCAAGGTGGCCTACTTACAAAACAACCTTGAAGTGGCCTTCAAACAGATGCTGCAGAAAAATCACCGGGAAGGCATTTTGGCCAAGGTGAGTATCTGCCGGGGCTTCGAACAGAGGAGGAAAAAATAGAGAAGGAACAGAGTTGGAAGGGACCTTGGAGGTCTTCTAGTCCAACCCCCTGCTCAAATAGGAGACGCTGTATCAATTCGGACAAATGGCTTTCCAATATTTTCGTAAAAACCTCCAGTTATGAAGCACGTACAATTTCTGGTGGCAGGCTGTTCCACTGGTTAATTGTTCTCACCGTTAGGAAATTTCTCCTTAGTTCTAGCTTGCTTCTCTCCCTGATTAGTGTCCGTCCGTTGTTTCTCATCTTGCTTTCTGGTGCTTATCCAATTTGCTGGCAGGAACAGCCCGCACCCCAAAAGACAAGCTCAGGGACCAAATGGATCTTGACAGACTTGAACCCTGGGCCCTATCCAACAAAATGACATTTAACATAGAGAAAAGCAAGGCTTTACACCTAGGGAAGAAAAGTACAGATTAGGTGAAACCTTAGCTCAAAAAGCAGTAACGAATCTCTCTAGGACAGGAGTCGGCAACCCTCAGCTCTGGAGCCGCATGTGGCTCTTTCATACCTCTGTTGCAGCTCCTTGTCACCAGTCCGCACCACAGTTTGAGAGGACCTTCTGGTTTTGGGGGGAAGCACGGCGTACCAGGAGGAGGCTCTATAGGAAGGGGCCGGGCTTTCCGCTCAGTTCCACAGTTGATAGGGCTTTCAGCTAGGACAGGTAGAGGAAAAAGGACACCGCGCTAGGTGTTCTGTCCTCAACCCCACGCACACACACCAACAGACGCTCAAGAGTTAAAGACCAAACCAGCCGGCAAAATCCTTTTCCTTATGATAATGGAACTTGGCAACAACCTAGTGGCTGCCTGCCAAGAGTTTATTATTTACGAAGAGGAGAGATAACTTCTCCCCACTCCTGGTACATCAAAAGAAACAGCTCAATAATTACGGAGTCAATCAAGTCCAGAGATAATCCAGCAAAGTCTATAGCAAAAAGTCCGGCAATGCAGAATGGCGTGGAAGCTTTCAGCTTTGTTCGTCACAAGGTTTGACTGGCCACCACGCTCCCTTTTATATCCTGTGGGGTGTGGTCCAGTGACTCAGCCTAATCTCAGGCACGCCTTCTGTTGCGCGCGCTTATCTCTGCGACGCTGGCATGGATCCAGCCAAGACTCATTACCCTCATCACTGTCCATCTGTGGCTGCATGGACGTGCTTGGCCCCGGCCCTATCTCTTGCCCTTCGGCGGACACCGAAGGCATTGCCAGAGAGGAGGGTCCTGGAGAGGGAGGCCTTGCCAACTCCTCTTCCTCACTCTCAGAGTCTGCATCTGTCGATAGCCCAGGATCAGGCAACGGAGCCACAACACTAGGAGGAGACTGTATGGTGGGGGAAGAGGACTTCCGGTCAGCTCCAGAATTGAAAGGGGGGCTTTCAGTTATGATCTTTGTGGCTCCCGGTGTTTTCTTTTCTGTGTGAAATGGGTCCAAATGGCTCTTTGAATGTTTAAAGTGGCCGACCCATGCTCTAGGACAAGCCGGCATGGCGTGAATCTTGCCCCAGATGGGTGTCAAACACCAGGGAAATCAGGAGATTCAGGCAGTTCAAATGAGTGTAAAAATTCATTGCAAGCTTGAGTTCTCTACAAGAATCTGGCCAACTGACGGTTAAGGGAAAAGAGCGGGAGATAAGAAAGGCATTCAAGATGAGCTGGACTTAGATCTCTTGCGGGCACGCAGGGACTCGTGACTGATGGCGTGTTGGACCCCTCCCTCAGGCTCAGCCTGGTCATCTCCTACAATGGGGCACCTTCCAGGTGAGCCAGACCACGTGAGAGTATCTCATTCTCTCCCACTTTCTCTTTCTAGTTGCCACCCAAAGGAAAGTTGCGAAGTCTCTGTTCCCAGCATGTGGAGAAGCTCCGTTCCTTTCGCCAGATGTACCCCATGGTCGTCCACGCGGTTTTCCCACCGCTGTACAAAGAGCTCTTCAGTTCAGACTCTGACCCACTGACCCAGGGGCCCACAGGGGAATAACCCCCTCCCCACAAGCTGAGGACAGATCAGGCGTCTCCTCCCGTTAACGCTGGAAGCCAGACGCAAAGCGAAGAATCGGATCGAGGGAAGCCGTCAACAAGAGGGCGGGCAGGACAAGGAGTTGGTGACCGCTCGTCTGTCCTCATTTTGGGGATGTTCCCGCTTCATCCTGGAAGATAAACAGGCCAGGGTCACCTGTCCCCCCCCCACCTCGGAGGGATCCCTCAAAATGCTCCAGTTTACATTTAAGGGTTTACCTGCCACGGAGGCAAGAAGCAATAAAGGGGGGATTACATGACACAGACAAATCCACCGTGATACAGTTTCGTGGAAAGGCAACATCGGACGTCGCTGCCAGCTCAGGCAACAGCCCCCCCCCCATCAAAAAAATACCTCATTTGTGCTGTTTAACGGCAAGAGACTCAGCCAAGTTCAGAAGAAATTTCTATATGTATGCATCTATAGAGAGATGGACAGAGGCGGTTCTCTAAGATAGATTTTATTTTTCTGCTAAATTCTGTATTTGATAACAAAGGAATCCCTATCTGGTTTTTTTGCCCCCCCCTTTCTTTCTCTTTGCACTGTCACTTCGCCAGCTGGCCTCAACTTCTGCTCTTGTGCAAAAGTGTGTTTTTGTCAGGATACATCTCAGCACCTTAGACCTTAGGTTTTGGAAAAGCTAGTTTTCCACCTGCCCCGACATAAAATGACAACAATATGTGAGTTTTATCTGCAGGATCTGTTCGAATCTCAGGGTGTCTTTAAAATATCTGTATTTCTTTGGAAGATATATTTTGGAGGTCAATTTTAGGAAGTTTTCATCGGGGGGACAGAAAGGGGGTGGGGGAAATGGATCTGTCATGGAGAAGTCTGGCCTAAGCCACCAATCCTTGCCAGTTTAGCAGTCTAGCATTCCGACTGGCATTGGGTTGGTCGCGGAGGTGGGATTCACTTACCTTCCCTACCGGTTCGCAAATGTGAGCACACGTGCCACGTCTACGCAATGCGCACGGCCTTCCGCACATGCTCAGTCACGCATTACATTACATTACATCCGGGTGGGCGGAGCCTCCTGCAGCCGCCGCTACCAGTTCGTGCAATTTGGACAGAACCGGCTGTATCCCACCACTGGGTTGGTGACTTTGGCCCAACTTTTCTGCTAAAACCTGCACCGTGTGGGTATTGATAGGACGATAATCCTGGACAAACCGCAAGACCATCCGTGTCGGTCTGACATTTTAAATCCTTGCAAATGGTTCGGCTTGCAAGAATAAATTTAAGATGCTCTTAGCTTTTCCGTCAAGAGCTGTCCAGGTGACGCCACTCGCCATTTGCACAGAAAAATCCACTACGTTGCATCGGATGTACGTGTGGACCTAACTCAAGCCCTTTTCCTATTCTCCTCTTTTCCTTGGGTTTAAAAAAAAAAAAATGGTGAAATATTTAAAGAACGGGGGAGGGGAGGGGAAGCTGTGTAAATACCGGCTGAAAAAGTTTTATTTTTTTTTAAGCTAAGTGTAGAGAAGTTGGTCTTTCAGAAAGCGTGCGCTGGAAACCGTTTAGTCTCCTTTTTAATTTAATTAAATCACGGTGCATACTGGTACGATGGTTGGGTTTTATTTGCTTGATGCTGACTCTCTTTATTTTTGTTATTGCTATTATACTTGTTTGCCGGGGGAGGGAGGGTTCAGGTGGAAAGGTAACCTCTGAGCATTTGAAAGGCAACTGATCAAATCCGCATAAGGTTAATTCCAATTTTTTTGATCTATGGTTCTGGCAAACTTTCATTTAATTATTCTGATGTCTGTTTGTGAGCTTTGGATTAAGTTGCTGAGACGGTCAGAATTCAGTGGCCGCCTTGACATCGCTAGAAATTAAATTTCAGAAATGGACACTTCTTGTCTGTAAGGGACCTGCAAGATTAAATGTGCAATGATTGGGAAAATAAAGTATTGGGGGGGGGGGCCACACACACACACACCTTGAAGCCCCCAGACCTGAATTAAGTGGGAAGATGGTACAAAACAGTTGGAGAAATGGGAGTTAGACCTGGATTAGAACAAAACATCTTAACAGATTTATTTGATATCACAGTGGTTACATACCGGTCCCTAATATTTCCATAAATGATTTCCAAAAACTTCGGGTGGCCTAGCAAGCTGAGAATTTTGCAAGTACTAGAATAGCAGGGCATTTAGGGGTTAAATGGAGCCTCCCTGTACAGGGGCAGAGTATCTGTTAAATGCCAGGAGGTGGAATCGAGCACCGGATGTTGGTTTCCCGTCCTAAAACATGACCCAAAAATAAAAGAGTCTTTCTAAGCACTGATATATATGTGCCGTGGATAAATAGCATCATTTCTGCCTGATTCCCTATACGGGCAGTCCTTGATTTACGACAGTTCATTTAACGACCGAAGTTACAACGGCACTGAAAAAAATGACTGACAACCCATTTTTTCACACTTACATCCATGGTTAAGAATCTGAGATCATTTGCTGATGACATGCACAGGCCTAATAAAACAAAATTTACCTGCCTCTTGATGGCTTACAGCCTGCAAACCCTTCGCCCCTCGGTAAGGGAAACCGTGGCCATCACCAGCTCTTTTTTTTTCCCAGGGGATTTTGTTTTTTTTTTTTTAAAAAAATGGGGCTCGATTGGGGGGGCTTCCCAGCGTGAGAAGCCCACCCACCCTAAGTTGGAACCGGGAGAGGGGCCGAGTTTGATCTTGGACTCGCGAGCCAATGGATAAATTTCAATTTTCGTTGGGTTGCTGGAATGAAAATCGGCGGCGGCTGCAGTTTGTGAGAATTGTGTGAGTGTGTTTGAGTGAGTGTGTTGTTGTTGCTTTGCTGCTTTGTGTGCCGAGCAGCAGAAAAAAAAAAAAACTCAGGAAGAAAAATTACAGAAAGTCGGGAAGGGAATGTTCTCAAGGCAGGGCTGACGGCCACAGAGGAGAGAGGATGGAGGGACAGGAGACGGACTCTTAAAGCGGTGTGAGCATCCCCAGGTAAGACATTTCTGAGCTGTTTTTGAAGATATTTGCAGGGGAGGCACCTGCCTCGGGCAACTTTCTTCTCTTTGGAAGGAGAAAGTGGTGAAACATGTATTTTTTATTTTGTTCGGGGAAGGCACGAGGGGGGGCGTAACTGAAAGCGTTGCAAAATCGCTCTTAATATTAAAAGAATAACAGAAGAGTTATTCTGGAAGGGACCTTGGAGGTCTTCTAGTCCAACCCCCTGCTTAGGCAGGAAACCCCCCACCACTTCAGACAAATGGTTGTCCAACGTCACCTTAAAAACTTCCAGGGTTGGCATTGAGAGGCCAGTTTAGCGTGTGAACGTAACTCAATCGAGGTCTGGGCATGCTGAAGTCCCAGGTTCGAATCCAGAAACGGGGGGGTGGGGGGGAAAGACCTGCCGGAAAGTCGAAGGAAGGCTGGGTCAATGAAGGAAGCTCGTCTTTTGCTTAGCTGGGACAAGTGATGGGATTGCAAGGAATTTAACAACCGATTCTCTGCCCTAATGATTTCTTCCAACAACCACTGTGCCAAACTGCTCAGAAAGTTAACAGCCGGTTCTCCCGAAGTGGTGCGAACCGGATGAATCCCATCCACTGGCTGGGATGTGTAGAATCGAGGTTTCCCCGTTGCAACTCTGTGTGATGGCAGCTTGGAAGATAAAAGGAAGCTTTAGCCCCATTTCCTTGTGTGGGTGCTAATGTAAACACACAAAACACGTACCTTTTTTTTCCCACCTTCCTTTTTTAAAGAAACTATCCAGAGCAATGATTTCAGCCCACGGTTATCGCCGCGTTCAAGGTGCCGAGAGATGTTCTCCGCTCGATCAGAAATAAAAAATAAGCTGCTTTTGAAGAGTCAGAATAGAAAATCTGGCAGGGGGAGACTCTTAAAATATAATCTTATTTTTTTCTTTTTTTTAAATATAGGTTTATGGAGGAGTTTTTGGGGAAGACGCAGCACTGAGCTTTTGTTCCCATCTGGCGTTTCTCTGCCCCAGATATTTGTGGGTTGTGTCAGTCCCCACATCCAGAGGGAAGGTTTTTGACAAGGGACTTACAGGCCACCCCCTATAAGGGGCCCATTTTTTTTTATATACCGGAGTTTATGAAGCTTTGAAATTTGGAGTTTTCCAGCCATAAAAAAACCAGCAAGGTAGGTTAAAATATCTGGGTAAAATGTTCCGGAGGGTGGAAGTTCAACCAGGTTCAAATCCAACAGGTTTACAAACGGCAGGGATTTGTCATAACAAGCAGATGCCCGCAGGATTCGATGCGGTGTCTTTGTGAGTTAAGTGGAGCGGCTTTTTAAATCTGGGCTCCTCAATGAGGACTAGACGCTTGCGCTGACCTGGAGCGTAAGGGATTCTCCTTCCAGGATAAAACCCAGGTGCGTCTTCGGAGGAAAAGTGAAGAGGGGGGTTGATTCTCGATGCATCTCTGTTTTTTATTTCCGTATAGAGAAAGGGGGAAATTCTGATTTTTGTTTTCCCCTCTTTGTAAATCTGTGATGGCAGGACTTTGGGGCCAAAGTAAATCTTCCATTTAAGCTTCGTGGGTTTTTTTATTATTATTATTATTATTTTCTTCTCTTGCTGCCTCTCCTTGGCCCACTTTGCCTGCATTGGGTTAATTAAATGTTCCCATTAAGATGCAAATTCCGAGCCAGAGGCTCTGCGGGAGCGATCGCTTCCCTCCATCCGCCCGCTGAAAATGTGCGAGGTGCCAATTTTGCATCACATTTTGTTCTCCGTAAAAGGATGAGGACCAAACAGGGCTGTGAAGAAGAAAGAACAACTGCAAATTCTTCTCCAAAACCCTTGAGGTTAATTTTTTTTTTCATCCATCTATGCTTCCCTTAAAAATTTATTTTTCCTTCCCCCACAAAGCATCTTTCTTTCCTACTTCTTGGAAAAACTGGGATCCCCCCCCCTCAAATTTGCTACCTAGCATCTCCGGGATCTTCCCAGAGTGCCATTGGGCCTCCCAGAGTCCATCTATCGCACCCCCGACATCTCAAACCCCAGCACTTAACTAGAACAAACTTGGAGAGCTTTAGCAAGCGAGCCGTTTCACGTTCCTGCCCTTAAATTTTGGCAATTTAAAAAAAAAAAATCCAGCTTCTTTAGCGGGCCTGTGAAAACTTTCCCGAATCTTTTTATAAGCGCACTAAGCACAATAGGATAAAATGGGGGCTACGTTATTGTTAGGATTTGTGGTTTCGAAGTGGTGGGGAGGGAGGGAGGGAGTGGCTCGCTTCGGCTGGCCAAAATTAATCCAGAAATGTTCTCATCTTGAAATTACCTGAAAGTAGGACAAGAAGAAGTAGTAAATGGTTGGAAAGTTATCAAGGAGAGAAGCAACCTGGAATTAAGGAGGATCTTCCTGACGGTGAGAACAATTAATCAAGTAGAATTTAAAAACCTTGCCTTTGGAAGATGTTTATTTATTTATTTATTTTATTTGATTTATATGCCGCCCTTCTCCGGAGACTCAGGGCGGCTTACAATGCGTTAAGCAATAGCCTTCATCCTTTTGTATATTTATACAAAGTTCAGCTTATTGCCCCCACAAACTGGGTCCTCATTTTACCCACCTTAGAAAGGATGGAAGGCTGAGTCAACCTTGAGCCTGGCGAGATTCGAACCTGCAGTAATTGCAGGCAGCTGGTCTTAATAACAGGGTGCTTTAGACCACTGTACTACCAAGGCTGTGTGGGGGCTTCGTCACTGGAGGTTTTTAAGAAGAGACTGGACAACACTTTGGGGACATGGCCGTGCTGAAGATCCCCAAGCCCCCTAGATGTTGCCTTCTGGCACGAACGTCCAACCTGTCCTGCCCTCTCCTGACCCCTCTTTCTCCATCATCTCCTGCCCCCCAGGGCTGCCCCGTAGCCTCTGTGTTCTTGGCCTCTTCGTCTCTTGTTTTGCTACGGACGTCCGCCTCTGTTTTAATGCACCGGTGGGAAATTTGCCAAGGAGCTACTTAAAAGAAATTGCATCGTGGTGGCTGGGTGGAATACGGGAGCTTTCTCTGAGATGCCCTCTTGAGCATGGATGGGTGATAGAAGCCCAGGGTTATCAGAGGCATTCTTGCTTTTTATTCCGGAGTTCACGGTGGAGGGTACGTACGCAGCGGTGGGCTTCAAAAATTTTAGCAAGGGGTTCTTTGCCCGGTTGCTGGGTGGGCATCGGTGGTGGGTTGCCCCCGGTTCAGACCGGTTCGCAAGAACCGGTAGTAAAACTGTCGAGAGGCCCCGGATGTCGTCATCAGCAATCTGCGCGTGTGCCGAAGCAAAGGCGCATGCACCAGCGATCCCGTTGCGAACCGGTAGTAAAGGTAAGTAGAAACCACCCCTGGTGGGCGTGGCCTAGTTGGCTTCCTGCACCATGGCAGGGAGGGGGGCGTTTTTGCCCTCCCCGGGCTCCGGAGGCTTTTCTCGAGCCTCCGGGAGGGCAAAAACGGCCTCCCCAGGCTCCGGAGGCCCTTTGGCCTTCCTGAACTCTCAGTAGGTCCATTTTTCGATCTCCCTGAGCGTCTGCACGGGCCCTGCATGTACCTGCATCCAAAACGGACTGCGTGGAGACTCCTAGCCAGCCAGGAGCGGGATTTGGGGGTTCTCCGAACTGCACAGAATCTTAGCTAAAGGTTCTCCCAAACCCCCAGCAGCCCAGCCCTGTATGTATGCGTTCCATCATTAAGAATAGAGCTGGAAGGGGCTTCGAAGGTCTTCTAGTCCAACCCCCTGATCAAGCAGGAGACCCTAGACCATTCCAGACAAGTGGCTGTCCAATCTTTCCTTTAAAAGTGTTTTGAGCATCCAGAACTTCTGGTGGCAAGCAGTTCCACCGGTGAATTGTCCTCACTGTTAGGAAGTTTCTCCTTAATTCCAGGTGGCTTCTCTCCTGGATTAGTTTCCATCTGGTGTTTCCTGTCCTGCCTTCAGGAGCTTTGGAGAATAGGTGGACACCCCCCCCCCTTCTTAAGACCTCAAAAGTTTCTCAGATGTGGCTTACTTAGGTAAGAAAACTCAAGATGGGGGGGAAAATCCATCTTGAACTGCAAATGTTCCTTTCCAGATGTTCAAAATCCAGCTTCAGTATGGTAGGTCGTCTTCTTCCTGTTTGTTGATGCCTTCTAACTGTTGGTGCCTTTGTGTTGTTTAGCTGTTGTTTCAGGAAGTTCTCGAGATGTTGAGCAGGACCTCTGCGCCGGATCTGCCATCCTCTTGGTTCCAAGTCTTTCTGGGGATGGTCTTCTTGGTGGGATCTGGACAGAGCTGCTCTTTCAGGTGCAAATGTTTGGTTCAGGAGAAAGTTGTCTTCTGCAACAGCCGTAATCTGACCATTGTGCCCGTCAAGATCCCCCCGGATTCAGAATTCTTGGACTTAAGCCAAAACAGCCTTCGTACCCTACATCAGGGCATGTTCTCCCGTCTCCAAGCCCTAAAAGAGCTGGATCTCAGCTACAACATCATCTCCAACATTGAACAGGGGGCCTTCAACGGCCTTCAGAAGATCATGACCCTCCGACTAGCGGGCAACAAGTTGAAGATGGTCCCAGATGGGGTCTTCACAGGGCTGCCCAACCTCTCCGTTCTTGACCTGAGGGACAACAAGATCCTCGTCTTCTTGGATCACACGTTCAAAGACCTCTTCACTCTTGGGAGCCTGGACATAAGGGACAATCCTCTGGTCTTGATTTCAGGTCAGGCTTTCCAAGGCCTCCAACATCTGAGGAGGTTCACTCTGCAAAAATGCAACTTCACCAGCCTGCCAACCGAGGCCCTGTCCCACCTTCCCCATCTGGTGGAGCTTCATCTCCATGTTCTCAACCTCAGAGTCCTCCACAACTATTCCTTTCGGAAACTCCATCAGTTGAAAATTCTGGAGATCAACCAGTGGCCTTTCTTGAAAATTCTGGAGCCCCAAAGTCTTTCTGGCCTCAACCTCACTTCTTTGTACATTGTCAGATGCAACCTCCATGATGTTCCTTATAGGGCCATCAAGCACCTGGCCCATCTCCGTCTCCTTGACCTCTCTTACAATCCCATCTCAATGATCCGTGGAAGGAAGTTGCTGGATCTCTCCCGCCTCCGAGAGTTCCACCTTACGGGTGGCCGACTGGCCACGATCCAAGCCAATGCGTTTGAAGGCCTCGTCCATTTCCGTCTCCTCAACGTCTCAGCCAACCATCTGCAGACCCTTGAAGAAAGGGTCTTCCACTCGGTGGGGAACCTAGAAGTCCTTCGGCTGGACCAAAACCCCTTGGCCTGTGACTGTCGCCTCCTTTGGATCTTGAAGAGACGACAGAGGTTGAACTTTGAGGCTCAGCTGCCCATCTGCGCCACCAGCTCAGAAGAAGGAGGAGAGAAGGTCTTCCATGACTTCTCCAGTGCTCTGGCACACCACTTCACCTGTCGGAAGTCTACGATTGAGAAGAAGACCTTCCAGAAAGTGGTCGTTCACGAAGGGGAGGAGGCCAACTTGACTTGTAGCGGTGATGGAGATCCACCACCCAGTATTTCTTGGGTGAACCCTCAAAACGTCACCTTAGACTCAACCGGCAAAGGCCGGTCAACCGTCCTTCCTGATGGGACTCTTAAGATTCTTTACGCCCTGCTTGAAGACAGTGGACTCTACCATTGTGTTGCGAGCAACGCGGCCGGCAATGATTCTATGATAGCTTCTCTTCAGGTTCTTGTTCCTCTGTTCAACCAGTCCCTGGTCTGGAAGGACTTCGGTCTGCACAATAAAACGATGATCTCCTCCATCTTCTTCCTCCACGCCAGCATCTGGCTGGGCATCTTGACCATCGGGATTGTCCCTTTTCTCTGCTCCGTCCTCATCTGCTTCACCTTCATTTTCCTCTACAGCAGAGGCCGAGGGAATGTCACTCACCAGGTGATTCACGCCGAGACCCATCTTTCCCGAGGTTACAAGGCCATCGTGGGTCAACGAAGACCCTCTCCCAAAAAGCCACAAAGAACCTCACCCAAAAAGCCGAGATGAACTCTTGAGGTGGCAGCTCTTCAAGTTCATTCTTCTCCACCAAGAGGTTCAAGCAGATAAATCGAGGGGGGGGGCTGGCTGTTTGAGAATTGCAATCATGTCTTTGGTTCACCCCAATATGCCATCTTTCTGTCACCTGGAGTCACAGCTAGGATATATATATATATATTAAAAACTAGCAACGGATTGAGTGACATCTCCCTTGCCATATTTTTTTTTTAAAAAAAACTTAACTGCTCATCAAACTTTTTTTTCCAAGGAAATGACGAATAGAGAAATAATTCTGTAATTACAGGAAAAGAAGATATGAATTCAGATGTAACCAAAATTCAGGGACTTTTGTCAACTCAGCCTGTTTATTAATAAATACATGCCATTCTTTCTTGCACCTGAAACATCTAGTGGGTGGTGGTGGTGGTGGTGGTATTATTATTATTATTATTATTATTATTATTATTATTATTATTATTACCAGGTTGCAGCCTGGAAACTTCCATCTAATTGCATTAATCTGAGCAATTCTATTTATTTTTTTTCTCCAAGTCTGTACAGAGCAGAATCCACTCTCTGTAAGAACAATCGGGCAGTTTTAGAGCAGTTGGAAGTTTGTAGAAGTTTCTTTTTCATTGAAAAAAAATCTAAAAGATATGCTGGCTGGGGGATTCTGGGAGTTGAAGTCCACACCTGCTAATTTGGGGGGGTTCTGGGAGTTGAAGTCCCCGCATCTGGCTGGGGAACTGAACTGCAGGGGCTCACTTAACGACGGTGGCAACAAAGGTCGTAAAACGGGGCATTAAGAAATGCCTCGCTTAAGAACAGAATGTTTGAGGCTCAATGGTCGTAAGTCTACCTGTATTAGGGAACTGAAGTGCGCCCCATTTTAAAGGAACGCGGTCGTCTTATTGGTGGTCCTTGCTTTTCCTGGAAATTTCGGCACGGAAGTGGGTTTGAATCAGTGGTGAAATGCAAAATTTTTTACAATTGATTCTGTGGGCGTGGCTTGGTGGGCGTGGAAGAGGAAGGATACTGCAAAATCCCCATTCCCTCCCCACTCCAAGGGAAGGATATTGCAAAATCCCCATTCCCTCCCCACTCCAAGGGAAGGATCCTGCAAAATCCCCATTCCCTCCCTAACCCTTGGGGAAGGATCCTGCAAAATCCCCATTCCCTCCCCACTCCTGGGGCCAGCCAGAGGTGCTAATTGCCGATTCTCTGAACTACTCAAAATTTCCGCTACCGGTTCTCCAGAACCTGCTGGATTTCACCCCTGATTTGAATTCTCCCAGGCCAAGGAAGGGAAATTTGAGGAAGGAAAAGGCCGATCTTGCAAACGTTAAATTGCCGGCTGAGAAAATGATGCTTGGTTTGCATCCTTGGTGAAGCCGAGGAAGAGCTTATGAAGATGGCTGTCATTGCGAGGTTCAGCGTTCATTCCAGCCAGCAGAAAATTGGAGAATTGGGTGGGTGGGCTACCATGATGACGTTCAGGAGGAGGAACAAGGGATTCTCGAATCGCTGCCCGGCTTCCAAAACCTCTCCGTCCTGGAGAAAGGCAAGGGGCTTTCGCCTGAGAACAAGGATGACGCAGCAAGAGGGAACGTTATTGATCGAGCCAGCGAGCGGTTTATTTTGGCTGAAAGCCCCCCCAGGAGATGGCAAAGCAGAAAGGATGAATTTCAGCCTGGGGTCTCCCATAAGTGCTCTGCAGGAGGAGAGGAAGACGGGAAGGGAATTGGAAAAGAGGGAGGGAGGGAGGGGGGAAGGAAGGAAATTGAAAAGGGAAGGGAGGAAGGAGAGAAAAGGAAGAAAGGATGAAGGATAGAGAAGGAAGGAAAAGAAAAAAGGAAAGGAAAGAAACGAAAGGAAAGCAGAGGGAGGAGGGAAGGAAATTGAAAAAGAAAGGGAAAGGAGGAAGGAAAATGGGAAGAAAGGAAAGGATAAAGGATACAGTAGGAAGAAAGAAGAAAGGAAGGAAAAGAAAAAAGCAGAGGGAGGGAAAGAAGGGAAGAAAATTGGAGGAAGGAAGAATTTCAAAAAAGAAAGGGAAGGGAGGAAGGAAGGAAAAAGGGAAGAATAGAGTAGGAGGAAAGCAGAGGAAGAAAGGAAGGAAAAGAAAAAAGCAGAGGAAAGGAAAGAAACGGAAGAAAAGCAGAGGAAGGAAGGAAATTGAAAAAGAAAGGGAAAGGAGGAAGGAAAGAAAGGAAGGAAAAAGGAAAGGAAAAATGAGGGAAGAAAAGCAGTGGAAGGAACAAGGCGGGAAGGAAGGGAAAGAAGGAAGGAGCAGAAGGGAAGGGAGGAAGAAAGGAAGGAACAGAAGGCAAGGAAGGAAGGTCCCTCTCTGAAAATCTGGCCATATCTCAAATTCCCAGCATGTTTCATTTGGTGTCCAATGCAGTCCCTGTTCAACTCACTCCCCACCACCTCCCAGACGTCATAATAATAATAATAGTTTAAAATCCTGCATCTTTTCCATCTTTTCCCTCTCTGCTTGCAATTCCCCCGCAGGGGCTGCATGGCTAATGACTTCCCCCACCCCTTCCATATTTCATTTCTTCTTGCAAAGGTTTTCGGTCCCGTTTTTTCTGTTGTCATCCTTTCCCTGCTGCCTGCAAATCTCTTTTTCAGTGACAGCATCTCTGTTTTTTTCTCTGCTCTTCTCCGCCGGCCGCTTGAGGGAGCCGGTTCTTGATGGATCCTCATTTCTTTCTTTCTTTCTTTTTTTTTTTTTTTATTTAATTGGACTATAAATTAGAAAACAGAGAAGGAAAGGAGGCGCAGACCGGCACTGGCTCCAGGCAGAATAAGATGATCCTGCCTTTAAGAAATCTCCTGCAAGGATTGAATTGAATTGAATTTTCAGCCCTTCTGAAATTGCCCCATTTTGCAGAGTTCCAGCCAGCCTCCCCAAAAATGGGGTCTTTCCTCCTTTCCTGCCTTTTTGCATTCTTTTATCTGGGCGCCTCTCAAAATATTCCCCGGCTGAGGCTGATTCCGAAAGGTAAGCTTCCTTTCTTATGATGATGATGATTTTGACGCTAAAGGCTTTTTCCTGTCATTTTCCTAAAGGTAAGGGTTGGTTTTTTTTCCCCCAGGATTATTATTATTTTGATGCCCAAAAGCTTTTTCCTATAATGTTTATGACTGTAATTTCTAAAGTTGTATTATTATTATTATCTCTTTTGTTCATTAAACATGAAACTCAGTCAACTGAACATTTAAAAATGTGTCACAAATATTGACTGGCACTGATGGTTGATATGGGTTGCTGCCAGCATCCTCGGTTATTATTATTATTATTATTATTATTATTATTATTATTATTATTATTATTATTATTATTATGCCAAAGGTTTTTTTCTATCATTTTAATCACTATAATTCCTAAAGATGAGGCATTATTATTATTATTATTATTATTATTATTATTATTATTATTATTATTATTATTATTTCCTATTACAATTATGTAGATTCCAAAAGGGGAGGGTTTTTTTTCTATAATTTCTATAATGCTGATTGGAAAAAGTGGGGTGAGGGGTTTTTTCTCTTATTATTATGATTCTAATTGCTAAAATGAGCTTTTTCCTACATATTTCCAAAGGTAAGCTTTCTTTTTCTATTAATATTATTATTATTATTCAAAAACTGAGCTTTCTTTTCCTATTATTATTATTATTATTATTATTATTATTATTATTCATATTTGGATTCCCGTCGGTCACCTGTTTTCTTCTGAGGATTGTTTGCAGAGTCAGCCAGTGGTTCAGTCTGGATTTGGCATTTCTATCTACCTCTCCGGTCCTTCCCAAGGAGCTGAGATCGGCAAATGTTTTATTTTATTATTATTAGTATTATTTTGCATCCCCTTTCAGATTGCAGAGGGATGCGTGAGTAGGCTGAATTTCTAAATGCCAGGGTTTTGAAAAAGTCCAGCTGCTCTTCAGCAAATCCTTCCGTCTTCTCAAACCTTTTTCTCCAAAGAACCGAAAACATCCTGTTCCCTCATTTAATGAATATATTGAATTAAGGCAGGATATTGAATTTAAGCAGGAAAAAGAAAGGAAGGGGAAAAAGAAACACAACCAACCAAACCACTCTAATCCTGTTGCAAAATGGTTGGGTTTTTTTCCCCCCTAACCTCTGCCTCAAACCCTCTCCCCCTGCAAGCAAACCTCAAAAAGCAATTTAAAATTCTTAGCAAGGATGCGTCTGATTTAGGCCAATCCTTCTATGCTGAGTCACGAACGTTTTAGAAAATAGACTAATGGCCACTTACTCCATATTCTCGGAACTCGAGTTAATGGATTTCATTGGGAAATGTGGGTCTCCCTGCATTCAGACACAGAAGCACCTCATTTGGGCTGACCTACCTGGCAGGGTTGTTGTGTCTGAAAAACTAGGGGAAGGAACCCTCCGTGCAGTGCCTGGAATTGCTGGGCACAAATGCTGCCCTTCTTTTCAACCCAATGAACTTTGAAACCCACCGTTCGCTGGCCAAGAGAGAAATTGGAAGAAAAGGAGTTTAGAAAAAGCATTGGTAGGATTTTAGAGAAATCCTTGAGGACTAGCAGCAGGGTGGGATTTGCAAAGAAGCACCAACCAGGCTTCCAAGAGGAAAAGAGTTCATTTACGTGAAGCAATATGCTACATTATAGAGGTTAGAATCCCAATGTACAAGCTAGGTGGATTTATTCCTCTTTAAAGAAATGTACTGCTCACTGACAATTTTTTAAAAAATTATCCAAGTTGAAGGATATTCACGTTTTGCTTCTTTGAAAATTTAGACACCTGAGATTGGGCGGGTGGGGTGGGGAAGTTCTTTGGCATCTGCACAACCAGAAAACAGAATAATAAGAGTCGGAAGGGACCTTAGAGGTCTTCTAGTCCAACCCTCTTCCACTCAAGCCGGAAGCCCTATGCCATTTCAGACAAGTGGCTGTCCAATCTCTTCTTAAACACCTTCCGTATTGGAGCACCCACAACTTCTGGTGGCAAGCGGTTCCACTGGTTAATTGTCCTCATTGTTTAAAAAAAAAAATTCTCTTTAATTCCAGATTGCGTCTCTCCTTGATTCGTTTCCATCCGTCCCTTCTTCGGGTGCTTTGGAAAATACGTCTTTTTATCCAACCGTTAAGGAAAAGGCCCATTTGGGATTTTCTTGTTTTTTTTGTTCTTCCTTCCTGCCGTCGGGAAATTTTTCCCTTCGTTCTAGGGTTGCTCTTCTCCCGGATTAGAAAGAAATAATTAGACATTAGAAAACAGGGACGGGAAGGGAGGGAGGAGCGGATTCTGGGTTTTGCTGCAGAGATATTTTATGGCCTCTTCTCTTAGATGCATTTTTCTAAGCGAGGTTTTCCTGCAGGAGAGATTAAACAGCTGGCTCTTGTCGTTTCTTTTGCAGAACATAAATATTTTGGCGCCGGCGGAGATTTTGTGATGCACAGTGTGGCAAAGTGCCCGAGCCCTCAAAATTGAGCTCCAGAGGCACTTGGGGTTTTTTTTTGGGAGGGAGGGCATCCCCCCCCCACCTTTCCAGCCGCAGAATGGCTGCTAAACCGTTGCCAGATCTGCCCATTTTCAACGCTGCTTTAAAGCTCCCCCATTGGCAAGAAATTCGGTATAAAATTTAAATTAAAGTTGGCCCAAGTCCCTCGATGTGTGAACAAGTCCTCCAAAAACAGGGGGGAAAGAAGAAAAGGATTCAACGGCCCCGGTTGCTTTCTCTGGAATTCTGGGGCCTAGGCGCTCAGATAGACTGCGCTGATCCATGGAGGATTAACGTCCCTATTTTATTTTATTTTTTTAAAACGAATGTTTTCAAGGCCAGCTCCAACAAAAAAACGGTTCGGAGTGGTTTACTTAAACTGTACCCGGCAAGCCACAACCCCCCTGTTTTATCGGTCTGTCTGACTCCCAACAATTCAATGAACCGCAAAAAAAAGAGGAGGAAAGAAATTAAATCTTCAGTATTTCCTTCCGATGTTCAGTTCCGTGACAATCGGATCAGATCAGAAGGCAACCCAGCTCTAGTCTAACCTCCCCGCAGAGATCAACGGGATCCTTCTCAGAAAGCCTCCCTTCCCAGATGAACAGGTAGACTGCCTCTCCAACTGGAGGTTCTATTTAAGTCAGCGAAAAACCCTTTTGCAAGCCCCAAATTGGGCCGATTTCCTCCTTCCCGGGGGGCTGGGGGGGGGAAATATATATATATATTTAACAGAGTGTCTAAGTAAGGTCCCAATCCACTTGTAAACCGTGCACGGCACGTAAAGATGGAACATTGAAAGTCAGCAAAGCGCCATCAGTTTTGGAGAGAGCAAAAAAAAATAATAATTTTCCCCTGGACAAAGTTCCCCTTGATTTTCTCCTTGATTCCAAAGTTGCAAAATAAGAGGGAGGGTTTTTTTTCTTACCCCGGGAGCAAAACTCGGCTCTTAAGGGGCATCAGATCTTGGTTTAAAAAAAAAAAAAACTGGCAACTTGAAAGCTCATGAATTAATTAGGGCATCTTTCGGAAACTTCACAAAACCCTCCGAATGAATTTTGTTCCCTTGCTCTCCCCACCACCTTCTCCCAATGCAAGGACAGCCGAATGGCACGTAGTTTTGCAAAGCAGACCAGGGATGTCCAGCTCTTACGTGGGGGGGGGGGGGGGGGGGGTGGGAAGCAGAAGAGATTTTGCTCCAGCAGGTCAAAATCATTTGAGTCCCCTCTGCAATGCAGATAAAAACCGAGATATGTAGCACAGCAAAAGGGTGGGGTGGGGAGAGTTGGGGGGGGGGGGGGGGAGAAAAAAAAAAAAAAAAAAGACGGGGGGGGGGGGGGGGGGGGTGACTTTCCCTCCGTGTGACTCAGCCCTGCAAACCCAAAGTGCCTTCGCCTCGCCCTCCCCTGGATAAAAATGCGAAGGGCGCCAATAACAACAAGGTGTGGTCCCTTGTTGTGACTGATTGGTGTGTGTGTGGTGGGGAGGGTCGCAATTTGCCAGGGGCCCAAACGGGCAGCGTCTCCCCGAGCCCATCTATTGGCATAATGGATTAAGAAGGATTGCAGCTTCTGGATGCTTTGAGCGATCCTTCCCACGATGAAATATACAGTCGGCATCCAAGCCGGCTAAAATAAACCGAGATGGCTTTTTTTGGGGGGGGGGGGCAGACCCTGATTGTCTTGGTTTCGGCAGGAGTTAGCAAAACGGGTGCAATCTTAGCGTGTGAAGGGTGCATGCCAGCCCTTGGTGCATTTCCCGGAGGCTGGGACCGATTGCAAAAAGGTTCATCAACAATTCAACTCAAGCATTGAAAATAATGAAAATATATACCGTGTTTCCCTAAAAATAAGACCGGGTCTTATATTAATTTTTGCTCTGAAAGGCACATGAGGGCTTATTTTCTGGTTAGGTCTTATTTTGGGGGGAATAAATGCATCCGTTTGGCTGACAATCTTAACTGGGGCTTTTTTGGGGGAGTATGAGCATCCTGAAAAATCATGCTACGATTTATTTTCCAGTTGGGTCTTATTTTCAGGGAAAGAGGGTATATATTTTAATTTGGGTCATTCACATTGCATGCTGTCCTGGCTTTAATGAGTCCATCTGGATAGTTCTTGGATATTAGTGTAACTGTTCTCCCAGGGTGGGGTGGCCGTGGCACAGTGGCCCATTCCGGACTGCAAACCAAAGGGAAAATGGAGGAAAGAGCCACGAAACGGGCTTTTTCCAGGTTAGCTTCGCCAAGGAGGGGTAGTTTTGCTGACCGGCCTCCAGCGCACATCTGGAGCAAATGTTTATTCTGGGAGAGGTTAAAGAGAAGCTTGGAGGGCCAGAGGTTGCAAGGAATCTCAGGTCTTTCCGTCGATGGTGGTTTGTTGGCAGCCGGGAGAGGCCAACCTGGGAAGCAGAATGGCTGAGTTGAAGCTTCCCTCTGCCAGGGCAGTCTATCCCACAGGATCAGATTTTGGAAGCCACTTTGGAATTCAGAACTCCAATGGATCTCCTCGACGAACAGTGGGGACTGACCTGCAAAATTATACATTTTTTTCCCATTGTTTTTATTGCATTGAATTCATTTTAAAAAATTGAAAATTGAAATATTAAGATTATTAAGAGGTTGAAGACGGGCAGAGATTGAAAAAAAAAACTCAGCAGTTTGTGAGGATGGCTGGCAGGGGCTCTGAAGCTTGGAGTTGAATGGATTTGAAGAACCACGGGGTGAGTTCTCGGAACCGGGTTCCAATCCGCGTGGTTGTTTTTAATAAGATTTTTAATTTTTTTCCCCCAGATGCCGTGACCCGAACTTTCAATCAGAAGGAAAGGCTGATGGCCATGTTCCATGAGGCTGGGTCCCCTCAGCTGATTGTCGGAGGGCGAGGGAATGTGTGGATTCTGACATTTGTGGGTTCTGAAATCACGCCCACGGAGGTAAGCCATCCCATCCCACCATCCAAATCTCCTACGGATAGTCCTCGACCTACAACAGTTTCTTTCAACAACAAGTTGCAATGCTATTGGGAAAAAGCAACTTAGGACCGACGCAGCCCTGTTGTGCTCCTGGGCTCACAACTTGGGTGTTGGCAACCGGTTCAGATTTTCGACGGTTGTGGGGTCTTGCCAGCCAGCTTCCGATAAACAAAGCCAGATTGGCTGAGTGATTTGCTTAATGACCGTGATAACAAATTCACAAGACTCAAGGTGTGTGTGTGTGTGTGTGTGTCTCTCTCTCTCCCTGTCTGGTGCCCAGGTGCCAGTGCGTGTCGAAGAGAAGGCCGAGAAGGATTGTAAGAGAGCAGAGAAGGTGAGCTGGCCACTCAGGTTGAAAAGGGATGGATGTTTCCTCCAAGGGAAGGGACATGTTGGAGAGGCTTTGCATCTGAACAGAGACAGTTTCCATCTCCTCAAATCCAACATATGACCCGGTCTTAGCTAGTTGGCTAGTTGGCGAGAACCAACTCCTTAAGCCAACTTAAACTGATAGCTTGACAGGACTTTTATCTCCTCCAGTTACTTCCATTTCCAGGCACAGAGCGACCCCCAGAGAAGACTTAGCTACGGTTGGGTTGGATTGGGCTGAGTTCACTTGAGTTGAGTTGCGTTGGGTTGAGTTGGGATGGGTTGGATGGGTTGGGTTGGATGAGGTGGGATAGGATGGGATGGGATGCATAGGGTGGGATTGGGTTTTATTGGGTTGGGTTGGGTTGGGTTTTATTGGGTTGGGTTTTATTGGGTTGGGTTTTATTGGGTTGGGTAGGGTTGAGTTGGGTTGCATGGGTTGGGTTGGGTTGGGTTGGATGGGATGCATAAGGTTGGATTGGGTTTTATTGAGTTGGGTTGGATGAGATGGGGTGGGATGGGATGGGATGCATAGGGTTGGATTGGGTTTTATTGGGTTGGGTTGGGTTTTATTGGGTTGGGTTGGGTTGGGTTTTATTGGGTTGGGTTGGATGGGTTGGGTTGGATGAGGTGGGATAGGATAGGATGGATGCATAAGGTTGGATTGGGTTTTATTGGGTTGGGTTGAGTTGGGTTGGATGAGATGGGGTAGGATGGGATGGGATGCATAGGGTTGGATTGGGTTTTGTTGGGTTGGGTTGGGTTTTGTTGGGTTGGGTGGGTTGGGTTGGGTTGGGTTGGATTTTATTGGGTTCGGCTGGGTTGGGTTGGGCTGAGCTGGATGGGTTGGGCTGGGTTGAGTTGGGTTGAGTTGGATGGGTTTTATTTTCCCTGTTCTGCCATTCGTAGGGCAACTGCGACAACTTCATCCAGATGATTGAAAGGATAGAAGATAAAACCCTGGTCTGTGGCACGAATGCGGGCTCTCCCAAATGCTGGATTCTGGTAAGGGGCTAGGCAACCAATATAGGAGGGGCTTTGAGCAACCAGGGGGACCCATAAGAATCGGTAGGGTATCATTGAACTGCTTTTATGGGCAGGCTGATCTCTGGTTCCCTTTTTCTTTCAGGTCAACACAACACTGCAGAGAAGCAGCCAGGGCCAAATTTTCACCATGCTGGGGGAGAATGTCGTCTCATCCTCACCCTTGCAAAATGCCGTCACCATCGCCATCGGTAAGGGGCTCCGGAACAAGCCAAAATTCCTTTTTTTAAAATGTCTTTCCAAATCTCAAGCTGCCTTCAGAAGTTGTGAATGCTCCAACACTGGAAGTTTTTAAGAGGAGATTGAATAACCATTTGTCTGAAGTGGTGTAGGATTTCCTGCCTAAGCAGAGGGTTGGACTAGAAGACCTCCAAGGTCCCTTCCAACTCTGTTACTCTATTCTATTTTCCCTCCTAATAGCAGGATCAGGGCTCGGAGGTTAGGCAAAAGAAATCAAATCAGCATCGCGCGTGACGCATTCAACATTTCTATATTAAAAAACCAGATTTCAGCTCTGGCTTTTTTCCGTATTTCAGAAGACAGCCTCTACTCCGCCTTGTCCGGGAATAAAAGTTCCTTCCAGAGGAGTTATGGACGGAAAAAAGGGATCAAGACAAGGGACAGTTGGCTCAGCAGTAAGAAAAATTCCTTGATCCTTTTCCCACTTGCCTGAAAATGGAGTACAGGGAGTCCTCGGCTTACCACGGTTCATTTAGTGACCGTTCAAAGTTACGACGTCACTGAAAAAGGGGACTTATGACCATTTTTCACGTTTATGACCAGTTTTTCACACGTATGACCTTTGTAGCATCCCCGTGGTCACAACATTTGAACACTTGGCCACTGGCTCACATTTATGACGGTCGCAGTGTCCCGGGGGGGGGACGGATCAGGGGATCCCCTTTTGCGACCTCCTGACAAGCCAAGTCAACGGGAAACCCAGATTCACTTAAACAATGATGTGACTAACTTTTTTTCCCATGTTTTTTATTTTATATTATATTATTAATTATATTAATTATATATTTAATAATAAATATATTATTTATTAATTATTTTTATATTATATTATATATTATAAAACCTGCTGGGCTGGGGGTTTTTTTTCTCTCTCTCTCTCATCCTGAATTTTCTGTCCTAGATGCTGAGTTTGAAGGAGCAACCCTCTTCCCGCATAAAGACCGAAGGAAAGACGAAATTTTCTTCTTCTACAATGAGGTCAACCGGTCAGCCGGTCTGGATGAGGAGCTGTACAAAGTTTGGCTTGGACGCGTGTGCAAGGTTGGGAAAAGGAGGGGTTTTCTGTCTTATCGAGGGCGCAGGGGGCAAGTGTAAGGGATTGGTAAAGCAATGTATAGAATGACATTTCGATTGGTTGATTGATCAATCAATCACATTTCTGCACCGCCCATCTTTACCTGAATGACTCTGGGCAGTTTCCCAATCAGAACCAAATCAAAACTTTTTAAAAAAACTTTCGTCCTGCTAGACTTTTAAACTCTGTTTGTATTCTATTTATTCATTTATTAAATTTATAGGTTGCACGGAGTCACTTGATAATCAAGGGGAGAAGCAACCTAGAACTAAGGAGAGATTTCCTGACAGTTAGAACAATTAACCAGTGGAACAACTTGCCACCAGAAGTTGTGAATGCTCCAACACTGGAAGTTTTTAAGAGGAGATTGGACAACCATTTGTCTGGAGTGCTGTAGGGGTTTCCTGCCTAAGCAGGGGGTTGGACTAGAAGACCTCCAAGGTCCCTTCCGGTTCTGTTATTTTAGTCTATTCAATAGTCAGGCGGGCAGCATCTACATTGAATTAATTAATAAAACTGTATTAAAAACAGAGTTTAAAAAGTTAAGAACCACGAAGATTTAAGTGTTTAAGAAGGTGGAGGAAGTGCCCTCCAGATACCAACAGCCCCCAGGGTTGCATGATGGTCTTAGACAAGCAACCCCCTTCCCCATGCTAGTTGGCAGTTCCAGGTCTTGATGTTTTTTCTGGAAGGCCAGGAAAGAGGAGGGAAGGGGGGGTCCCACCTCATCTGTAGGGTCAAGATGGTCCATGATTGACCCAAGCATCTTTGGAAAATATGGGCAGATGAGAGCATCTAAGGAAAACCAATCCTAGTTTAAAGAAGGTTGAATTCGTTTCCAGATCGTAGGAAGTGATGTTCTCTTTTATGGGATGGAAAGGAATGAAAATCTCAAGAATTGAGATTCAGGGTGTGTCTTTTATCTCTTGGGGGGGTCCAGATGGATCAGGGAGAGAAACCAGCCTCGGGGGATTTCTGGAGCACCTTCCTCAAAGCTAGGCTGGTGTGTGGAAACCCCCACCAACCTCTGCTTTTCCACCACCTGGAGGACACCTTCGTTTTCAGAGAGGAGGGCCAGGCCGAGACAACGTTGTACGGGGTCTTCTCCAGCCCATGGTGAGTGGTGAGATACAGGTCAACGGGAAGTTGGATCTGGAATCCTGTCACGGTTGAGGATGCATCCAATCAATAAGGTCTTCTGGACTTGGGATGGTGCTTATGCTGGAATTCACTTTGGAGGGGCAGGGGGATGGGAGATTTAATCTGGACCCTAAGGAGGAAATACTTCAAGTTCAACCAAAAGAAAGAATCTTTTCAGCATTGCCTTTAAATCCATTCCCTGCTGGAGCAACTTGTCTACTTGGGCGCTGTCCGTGGTCCTAAAATTCCCAGGCTGAGGGCCTGCTTGGGCGCTGTCCATAGTCCTGAATTCCCCAGGCTGATACAGGTAGTCCTTGACTGACGACCCCAACTAACCCCAAAATTTCTGTTGCTAAGCAAGACGTTTCTCAAGTGAATTTTGCCCCATTTTACGACCTTCCTTGCCACAGCTGTTCAGGGAATGCCTGCGGTCATTAAGTTAGTAACACGGTTGCTAAGTGAATCTGGCTTCCCCCTTGACTTGGCTCGTCGGAAGGGCGCAGTTGGTGATCACACGACACTGCAACTGTCGTAAATGTGAGTCAGTTGCTAATTGCTCTGAATTTGGATCACATGACAGCAGGATCACTAGCGTGAAAAATGGATCTAAATCACCTTTTTCTGTGCCGTCGTATCTTTGAGCTGTCACTAAACGAACTGTTGTTGAGTCAAGGACTACCTATATTCTGCTTGGGTGCTGTCCATGGTACTGAAATTCCCAGGCTGTGTTCCTTATGTGCACAATCCCAATTGTGACTTGGAACCAGGATACACTGATGCAAAACTCAACACCCAATATTATTTTTAATATATATATATCTGCTTTATTTCTTCCAAGGGGCTCCTCTGCGGTTTGTTCCTACTCGATGAATCGGATCAGCTCCTATTTTGAAACTTCCAAATTCAAGGATGCTCCGGGCTCCGTCCCTCATCCTAGACCTGGCACGGTACGGTTCATTGGAGACTCTGCCTTTCGGTGACTTTGTTGTTATTGTTTTCAAACAGGACTCTAGGTGTCTGATTGCCACTTAATTTTGTTTACTTCCCGCTGCCCTGAACAATTCTGCTATATTCAATGATTATGTAAAAATATTTGGCATTTGCGAGTTAAGATCAAGAGGTTATTTCTAAAAATGCCTTTTGGAATTAATGGGCCAGGAAAATAATAGATAGAATAGAATTCTTTATTGTTCAAGTGTGATTGGACACACAAGGAATTTGTCTTTGGTGCAGACGCTCTCGGTGTATGTAAAAGAAAAGATACATTCATCAAGAATCGTAAGGTACAACACTTAATGATAGTCGTAGGGAACAAATAAGCAATCGAATCATATTAGGAAACAGTCAATATAAATCTTAAGGATACCAGCAACAAGGTTACAGTCATACAGTCATAAGTGGGAGGAGATGGGTGATAGGAACGATGAGAAGATTAATAGTAGTGCAGACTTAGTGAATAGTTTGATAGAGTTGAGGGAATTATTTGTTTAACAGAGTGATGGCGTTTGGGAAAAAAATGTCCTTGTGTCTAGTTGTTCTGGTGTGCAGTGCTCTATAGCGTCGTTTTGAGGGTAGGAGTTGAAACAATTTATGTCCAGGATGCGAGGGGTCTGTAGATATTTTCCCAGCCCTCTTTTTGACTCGTGCAGTAGACAGGTCCTCCATGGAAGGCAGGTTGGTAGCCATTGTTTTCTCTGCAGTTCTAATGATCCTCTGAAGTCCGTGTCTGTCTTGTTGGGTTGCAGAGCCAAACCAGACAGTTATAGAGGTGCAGATGACAGACTCAATGATTCCTCTGTAGAATAACTGAAGGAAGTGACTTTTCTGCATGATCAGACAGAATTTGGGTTAAAATTCAGGATGTCCTTCTCGCCACGAATGTCTCATGCCTCCTTCCTTCTCCAACCACAGTGTGTTCCGCCAGATTCCAGCTCTTCCTTGGCCAAAATGCTGGCCTTCATTAAGGACCACCCAGAGTTAGAAGCCGTGGTCTATCCCGATGAGGAGCAGCCTCTGTATGTCCTTCAGATGAACGATACGTACACTCAGGTGGTGGTGGACAAGGCGCGAGATGCCAACAATGTCTCCCGTGATGTCCTCTTCCTTGGAACTGGTGGGTTTGTTGTGTAAGGAAGTGGGTGACCCACAAAACCTAAACACAGCAGAAGAAGAGAATGAGGGAGTTGGGAGGGACTTTGGAGATCTTCTAGTCCAACCCTTTGCTTAGGCAGGAAGCCCTATACCAGTGATGGCTAACCTTTTTGCCATCGCGTGCCAGGAGAGGGGAGCGGGTTCCTGCAGCTTTCATATGTTTTAGCCTCTAGTCCCCTCATCATCTTGGTTGCTCTTCTCTGCACTCTTTCTAGAGTCTTCAACTCTAGTGACAGGAATGAGACTAGACTTTGAAGGAATCTATTGAGGTTCTTGATTCATTTGTGCATCCAGTCTCAAATTAAGCCCTGCTCCTTCCCCATCCTTAAAGGCAAGCCATCCTCACCCCATGGATGGATGGATGGACCCAAGGTTTTTCTAGCAAGACGTCCTGCGTCTATCACAAAGACAACAACCGTTGTGGTCTCCTTCCACCTAACCAGAGTTCTGGGGGGGTTTTTTTGCGGTGACAGCCAAAGGGAAGATCCATAAAGTCCTCCGAAGCAAAGAACAGACGGTGATCATTGCTGAGTTAAGTCCCTTCAAGGCTGAAGCACCCATCACCCAGATGATCCTGGATGCCACCACGGTAAGATAAAGAATAGACCTGTTGGTTGTGTGCAACATTCGGGGGGCAAATGCTGGGAGCTGAGCAGGCACCATGGGAGGTAATATCTCCCAGCTTATTTGGTTGTGTGGCCAACAAAGACAAGAATTGTTATTTGAATTCCACCTCCTGAAACAAGGTGAAGATACATAGCTAGGAATGTCAAGGAATCCTTAACGTTAACTATACATTTTCCAGATCTGTTGGTGGTCCTAGATAGTGAGAAGAATAGAGAGTTCCTTCCTAATACGTTTTTTACTCCCATGGCTGAGGAATCATCTTTGTGAACTTCATCCCTTGCCAAAGGAACTCTGTCCACCGCAGAGAAGTCAACGTAGGAAGGGAACTGGTGTCTCCTTTCCTAGGACCAGAGAAGATCTCCACAGCCTCCTTCACCGAGTTCCTTTCTTCCCCCTTGCACTAGAACCCATTTTGTCTCTGGTAGGGCCATCTCTACGTGAGCACCGAGTTTGAAGTCACGCGTCTACCCTTGCAAGACTGCAGCCAATATAATGGAAATTGCTGGAACTGCATCTTGGCCCGGGACCCTTACTGTGGGTGGGATGCAGCTGGAAAGACTTGTTCCGCCGTCTCCCAGGAAAACCACACCAACAGGTGGGTCAAAAGCCAAGAGGGGAGGGAGAACGTTGTGTGCATGAGCTTCTGACACACTTTTATGACCGAAGGGTTTAGTTAACACCAAGTATGGGGTCATTGACTAGGGAGAAACGAAGTACAGGACTAGGGGGTGCTTTGGCTTGATGCAGCAAAGTTCTTGAGATGTTCCCACTTTGTCCTTCAACAGGTTGATTCAGAACCTGGATTTATCCAGCACCACTCAGGCTTGCAAAGCAGCGGAAGGTAACTCTGTCCCCTTGCAGGAACTCGGAGTGTTGGTGGAAGGGTGGAGGTGGCCTTAAGGAGGGGCCCTCCCTCTTGTCACAGGAGGTTGATCTCAAATGGAGAACGAGGGAAGACGTTGGCTTGATTAAATGTGTATTTTATATGCCTTTTCCTCACATGGAAGGTATTCAAAGCACTGGTGGGATTCAATTTTTTTTTACTACCGGTTCTGTGGGCGTGGTGTGGCTTGGTGGACATGGCAGGGGAAGGATACTGCAAAATCTCCATTCCCACCCCACTCCAGGGGAAGGATACTGTAAAATCCCCATTCCCACCCCACTCCAGGGGAAGGATACTACAAAATCCCCATTCCCATCCCACACCAGGGGAAGGATATTGTAAAATCTCCATTCCCACCCCACTCTCTGGAAAGGTTATTGTAAAATCCCCATTCCCACTCTACTTCAGGGAAGGTCACTGCAAAATCCCCTTTTCCTCCCAATCAGCTGGGACTCGGGAGGCAGCAAATAGATGGGGGCGGGGCCAATCAGAGGTGGTATTTGCTGGTTCTCTGAACTACTCAAAATTTCCGCTACCGGTTCTCCAGAACCGGCTGAAACCCACCTCTGATTCAAAGCCTTCCTAAGCCACGTATGGTCGTTTGGATCGTCCCTTCTGCATCCTTGCCCTTAAGATTTTGGGCAATGCAATGGAGAAAGGTTGAGGTGGGTCACGGCCTGTCCTCCAGCCCATCGTTGCAAGCTTTTCAACTCGACCATCCTGGTCAGGGAGCTTAAAGCTATTCCTTGTCATTGTGTTGAATGTCTCTCTCTCTCTCTCTCTGCCTTACTCTTTCTCTCTCCTTAAATGCCGGACCCGGTAGAAAAATTAGCTGAGGACGCCATCAAGAAAGTCAGCGTAGATCGCACGGCTTACATCTACCTGCCCTGCCCGCTGAAGTCCCACCACGCCAGCTACAGCTGGGTCAAGGACAAGAAGGTTTACCCCTGTGCCATGGAGGACCAATCCTGCACGCTTCGCTTTGGGCAGCACACGCCGATCGACGAAGGCGTCTTCAAGTGCACGGCTAGAGAAAAAGGCTACAAGGAGGAAATTATGGGTTTTGAGGTCACTCTGAGTAGCGGAGTCATTCCGGAGCTCGCTCTGATGCTTTCTGGCACCGCGTTCCTCGCCATCACGATCCTCTTGCTATAGATCACCAGATCCGTAGCTAGGAGCGGATCCCATCACACTGCCAAAAAAAAATCTTTTTTCCATCGCTGTCCTTTTTTTAAATTTAAAAAAAAAAAGAATTGGCTTTGGATACATCGAGCCGCTCCTACCGATGCTCTCGGCCATACCGAGGACCCCAAATTCCAGGAGAGAGACCCGGGTCTCCGTCTGGCAGCTTCGCACGTGCGTTTTTTGATCCCCCACCCCACCCCACCCGGGTCACCAGGCTGTCCAACCGTAGACACAAGGTTTGTCATTTCCAGAAGAGCAGAAGAATTGTTGGTGGTAGGAGAGTAGCACTTACGGGTAGGAGTGGTACGGGTAGGTGGTAGGAGGTGGCACTTACGGGTGCCAGGAAAATAAATGTGGGGGGGGTTCTTCCTGGGGAGATAAAGCGACAGATGAGTTTATTCTGATCTGGAAATGAAATTTAAGGAAGTCCCTCTAAGGAATGAGGGTCTCATTTGGCTACCTGGTGACCTTCGCCGACTCGGTTTCCTTCCAGCTTTGATTGAAGATCAAAATATTTCCAGGTTTTTTGCAAGAAATATATTCCGGGCATGAGGTCTTATCCTGTCTTTTTAACTCTTCATGTTGCATGTGTGCTACGCAACTGCAATTTTTTTAAGAAAAAAAAAATGGCCACAAAGATCCGAGCCAGTGATGACTTTTAGTTCAAAGGGAGAAAAGTGTAGAAAAATAGCATTCACAACTTCGGCGTTTTTTTTTAAATTTGCGGCAAGGGTTCAACTCACACCCGGACTCCAAAAATCTTATTTTTGCACCGACATTCCTCCGATATAATAAGAAAACGTAACCTTTAAAGACTTGGAGATGCATCTGTGGCCGGAAAGGAAAAAAAATGGAATCGTATTTAATTATATTTTATAAGCGAGTTGGATCCGTCGGCTACGAGAATCACTCGATAGTAGCAAATGTCCATTTTGAGTTGTGCGACACAGGTTTTGATTCCAGTTAAGCACCAAGGCATCGCATCCAGGAAGTATGTTTGCACCAAGCTGGGCTGCATCCAATGTGACAACTTCTAAACTGCTTTGTGTGTCTGTGTGTCCAGTTGTTCCACCGTGGACTTTCCATGGATTAACTCTGGGGGCTTCTAAACTCCGATGGGTAACGATTTCTATTTTCTCAAAGGCTCTCTGGCTGAATCATATTATCGAGCCTACTGTATCACAGATTTGCTAAAAAAAAAAAAAAAGCTACTGCCAAATTCAGCTCTATACAGAAGAATTGTGCACCGGGAAACAGGAAGTGGTAGTTCATTGGTGGCTCTCATCAGTATATTTCCATTTTTATGAGAGATAAATCATGTATAGGTAAATCGTGTATAAAAAGGTAGGTTGGACAGCTATTTGAAGTGGTATAGGTCTCCTGCTTGAGCAGGGTTGGACTAGAAGACCTCCAGGGTCCCTTCCAACTCTGTTATTCAGTTAAGTAGAAGGTGTCAGCCATCACTCAGGGAGTTTGATCTAGTAGTTCAAGGGTGAACGTATTGGAAGAGCAAAGGTCTGGATTCGAATCCAGATGCCACAGCTCCCTGGACTTGGCCCCGTTTGTTTCCCCCCCTCTCTCGGCCTAAGCTACCCCACATTTGAGCTCCTGGATCAAGATATAAATGAAAGAAATTGCTCCAGCTGCATCTTAAGTAGCAGAACAAGGCTTGAGCTGTGGGCTGGAGTAGATGATCTCCTTACAAAATCTCCCCTTTTCACGCTCAGGATCTTTTATTATACAAACAGGAATGATCTATTTGTTTTCAGAATTATTTTTATGGATTTTTTTTTAAAAAATATAGAAATAATAAGAAATCTGCCCGCAGAAGTGATTTAAGCTGTCTTTGCTACAAGACATACATTCACATGAATGAAAATTAATTCCTCTTTGTGCAAAAGAGCAAACGCCTAACACTTTTTTTTTTGTTAAAGTTATATATCTTTTGATCCCAGAGAAAAACCAGACAAGAGAGCTTCAGTCCACCTGAATGCTGTTCAATTAAATTTAGCCCATCTCCCTTTAAATCTTCCACCACGGATTAAAATCCCTGAAGCCTGCACATATTTCTGTGCCATCTTTTCGAAGGTCCTGACATTAAAGTCTGAAAAGCTTTTCTGGAAAACAAGAAACAATAGAAAACCATTTTTTCCCAGCATAATAATAGAAAAGCAGAGACATATTCCAGGGAAAAAGGGGGAAGGAGAAGGAAATGGATTTAATATGAAATAAAGAGAGAATTGTTGCTAATAATCTGCGATTTGAAGACTTCATTATCATCCTTTCCAATACAGAATTGCCCAGCAAAATTCTGTCCAATTTTTGCAATTATTATCACTCTGTGTACATGATTAAAACAGCAGCTTGCAAAATCCTAGCCTCTTGTTAAAAACTAACATATCTGCGGTCCTTGTTGTTTTTAAAATCTTATTTATGGATTGCTTTGCTCGTTTGTAATGTTATCTGTCTTTCTCAATACACGCAGTTACATTCTCTACGCCTTCTCGTCTTTCTCGTTTCTTCTTCTCTTTTGACAACCGTGTTTTAGTTCTTGAGGAAGACGGATCAGACGTTTTTGATGATCAATCGTCTTTAGGAAACCATCCTCGACTTACAAAAAGTTTGCTTAGTGACCAAAGCTACAGATGTACTAAAAAATTGGCTTATGACCATTTTTCACACTTACAACCGTTGCAGTATTCAAATTCAGACACTTGGCAACGGATTCGTATTTATGATGGCCGTGTTATCCCAGGTGCAGTGACTCCCTTAACAACAGAGTCAAGGAAGGTCGTAAAACAGGGCCAAACTCACTTCACAACTGTCTTGCCTAACCACAGGAATATTGGGGCTCCATTGTGGTGCCGGTATTAGACCAAATTCTCCATGGCTGATGTTTTCCTCCTCGAGAACTATTGGGATATTGCCGATCGAGCAATTCAAATGAAAATCAGGCTTTAAACTCTTTAATATTTTGCCCCAAGTGTTGAAATTCAAAGCAGGTTTGAACTACCCACCAAAACGCAATTTTGTGTATGTTCCGTGGTACCAGTTGATGGGAGAAAGCATTTTGTACCTGAATGGATAGTTTCAGAGTTTGGGTTGCACACAAATTAATTAAGAAGCTATGCCGATCATTTAATTTGAATTTGATACAAGAGCCACACAATGGAATGGGAGATTTAACGAAGCCAGATGATTTTGGGGATCTGGCTGGTATTATGATAAATAAATGAATAAATTCAAGAGATTGGTTGCGACATTTTCTGCAAGGATCCTTCTTTGGGAGATTTGTTTTAGGATTCCCTTACCCATTATCCACTTCGGTTCCTAACTTTTCAGACTAATGAGATGGGGAAGTTTGGGGGCACTCCCTCCCGCCAAAGTCCACCTTTAGGCTTGCTAGGGTTGGCCTGGCAGCCACGAACCTTCATAAAGGTTTCGTGCAAGGCAACAATCCAAGATATGATGGTTTGTTGTGCAAACTGCGGTTAGTACTTTTCTCAATCCATGCACATAGAATTATTTGGGGGGTGGTGTTGTTGTTTTTGCAAAGGGCAGTCAAGTTGCCAACTGAGCTGGACCGAGAAGTTTATATTTTGGCACCCAAAACGGAAAAAAAAATCTGATTAAATTGTCAATTTTAAGATAAAAGGATTATGAATAAATTCAGCAGGGTCCATTTTGTGTGTGTGCAAACTGCTAAAACTTTGAATATTAAGTTCAAAGCATCCCTTTGCAACTGTCAATCATGGGTTTGCTCATTAGGGCATTATGGGTAATAATCCATGGCGTCTCAGCAGAGCGCAATGCATTCTGGGAACACCTCGATGTTGCTAAGATACCACGTGCCGCTGGCGACGTGCGGGAGCGACAGTTAAAACCCCCTCTCTATCTTCCTATTGGTTAAACTAGGGGCCAATGCCACCCCTTCTCGCTCTTCGTTCGTTTCCCCGATTGGCCGCTCCTTCCCGACTCCCCCACCCGTCGGCAGGTAACTCGCTCTCCGCCGATTGGCTGGGAAGGGCTCGCGCGCGGAGGGGGGGGAAAGAGGGCGGGGCGAGAGGTTATAAATACCGGGTCCCGCAGAGGCGGAGCGCGGGGACGGCGAGAGGAGGCGGTTGGGGAGGTAGGAGCTCGCCCTGCGGGCGGGGCGGAGAGGGGGAGGACCGCGGGGAGGACTTGGCTTGTCCAAGCGGGATGCGCTTGTTTTGCAAGCCCAGCCCTCTCGGAATAAGAGACGACCTCAAGCCGGGTTTGCATTATTGGGCGTGCAAATAGAAAGGTGGGGTTCATTAGAGTTAAATCCCAATTAAGTGGGGAGGACCCCCCCTCTCCCCAATATCTCTGCACCCTTAAAAGGAGGAGAAAGTGGGGAGGGAGAGAAAGAGCGGCTAAGACACACACACCCCAAAAAAAACCAGGCCAGGAGCAAAAAAAAAAAAGCTTCCCTTTCTCATTTGCAGGGGGTGGTGGTGGAATGGAGCTTCCAGAAGCAGGAGCAGTCTATCGGGGTTCCAAAGGAGGGAGGGAGGGAGAGGGGAGGAAATAGCCCCAAACGGAGGGCAGCAAGGAAGGGCCCAACCCCCACTCCTGCGCCCACCCCCCCCCCCAGAAACGAGAGCAAAAACTTCCTAATTGCGAAGGGTTTGGAATTTAGAGGATTAGTAAAGGGGGGGGCAGAGGGGGGGATATTTCCCCGGTGGGGGGAGGGCGCCCACGCGTGGCTTTGCATTAGAGCCCCACCTCCACCCTTGTTGCTTTTTTTCGGGGTTTCTGGGGTTCATCTTTTCGGCAGGATTTGCAAAAAAGGGGGGGGGGGAAGCCAGAATTGCAATAAAAGAGATGTTCTGTTTTGTTCTGCAGCTGTTGTGGGGGGGGGGGGGGGATCCAGGCTTCCTTGGGTGGATTCCTTGGAGATCTGCAAAGGAGGGAGGATAGTCGGAGCTGCTGGCTTTCTTCTTTCCCTCCCTGGGGGAGGCCAGAAGAGGGACACCCCCCACCCCCATCCCTTTAAGCGGCTGGGAAGCCAAACTCTTTGCAAGCAACCTAACTGGGTTTTTTCTGCCTCCCCCCCCCCCCCCCAACCCTCTGAACCCCCCCACAACCCCCCCCCCCCTTGGAGGTTGCAGAGCCATGGCTGACCAACGCAGCTCTTGGAGCGGAGGCTTGACCGGTCTGCAGAAGGTTGCCCTGGGCCTTGGCATCCCAGCCAGCGCTGCCATCCTCTACATCTTGTACTGCCGGTACCGGGAGGACCAAGGTGAGCGTGCCAGCCCCATCCCACCCCACCCCCACCTTGCAATGTTGAAACCCCCCACCCCCAACTGAAGGCCGGGGTGGATGGTCAGCAGTCAAACCTTGACTTTCCTGCAGGGCGAGGGATTCACTCGTGTCTGTCCCTCCCTTCCTTGGGGGAGAGGAGGGGGTCTTGCTGAGGTGGGGGCTTTGAGAAGGAAGAGGGCCGGGTGGAGTAGAAAAAGAGGAGGGGGTTGTGTGCAGCCTGGTCTGGAAGGAAGAGCCAGTTTGGTCTAGGGATTAAGGCAGCTGGCTAGAAACGGGGAGACTGTGAGTTCTAGTATTGCCATGAAAGAATTCTAGTGTTGCCATGAAAGCCGGCTGAGCGACTTGGACCCAGTCACTAGGAGACAGTGAATTCTAGTCTTGCTTTAGACATGAAAGCCGACTGGGTGACTTGAAGCCAATCACTAGGAGACTGTGAATTCTAGTCTTGCTTTAGCCATGAAAGCCAGCTGGGTAACTTGGGCCCAGTCACTAGGAGACTGTGAGTTCCAGTCCCACTTTAGGCACGAAAACCAGTTGGGTGGCTTAGGGCCGGTCACTAGGAGACATGAATTCTAGTCTTGCTTTAGCCATGAAAGCCGGCTGGGTGACTTGAAGCCAGTCACTAGGAGACTGTGAGTTCTAGTCCCACTTTAGGCACAAAAAAACGGTTGGGTGGTTTAGGTCCAGTCCCTCTCTCTCTCCCAGCCCACCTCGGAGGGTGGTTGTTGGGGGTCAGGGATAGGAGGAAGACATGTTGGATATTTATTTATTTATTTATTTATTACATGTATTTATATGCCGCCATTCTCCCGAAGGACTCAGGGTGGCGAACACAAGTTAAGAAACAAGTACAATAAAATCATAATTTAATCCAAATAATTAATTAGTAGTAAATAATAAAGCCCAGAATCAATCTCAGCCTATTTGTTTGAAAAGCCAAGTCTTCAAGTCCCGACGGAAGGAGCGGATATGTTCCCCGCTATGAGTTATGTGTAAACATAATAAAGACAGGATGTAAATATATATAAAATAGGAAGGCCCACCAGGTTTTAATTTTTGGAAAAGACGAGCTGGTCTCTAACAGGTTTGCACATGGTTCATGGGCTGGGAGAGGGTGGGGCTTTTTTACACCTTCATTCTTCAGGAGGTTTAGGTACCTCCTGAAGTGGGGAGAGGGATATCTCAAGTTCTTCGGCTTTCGTTTCTTCCTCGGTGGCCCCGCAGAAGAACGGATCACTTTCGTGGGGGAGGAAGAAATCGAATTCGTGCTGAAGGTGCCCCAAGAGGCGGTGAAGTTCCTCCTCGGGCGGCAGGGGGCAAAAGTGAACCAGGCAAGTGGAAGAAGGGGGGAGGGGGCTGGTGGGGTGGACAGACCCCCCCTCCCTTCCTCCTTTTGCAAGGGAAGCGGGGAAGCTGGACGAGCCCCCCCGCAAATATTTCCCTCCTCTCCTCTTCCTCCCGCAGCTGCGGAAGGACACCCACGCCCGCATCAACGTCGACCTGGAGGAATCCGGCGAGGAGCGGATGATCCGGATCTCGGGATCCCCCGTCCAGGTGTGCAAGGCCAAAGCCGCCATCCACCAGATCCTGGAGGAGAGCCTGCCCGTGGTGGAGAAGATCTCGGTGCCCAATCGGGCCATCGGCCGCATCATCGGTACCGCTTTCTCTCGCCGGAGCCCTCCAAAGCTTTCCTTGTAGGGAGGGGGGCCGCAAGGGTTGGCGGTCTTTAGCCGGCCCACCCTGGAGGCCCTGAGGCCGCGCTGAGCTTCCTAGGAGGGCCGATTTTTGCCTGGTTTGGGGAAAGTCGGCAACGGGAGAGCTGGGATTTGGGAGGGGTGAGGAGTGTAGCGCTGATGACGTTGCCTAGTTTGGTAATTAAACGCCTTGCCAGAAAACCCCCCCCCCCCCCAGTCCTCATCCTTGCAAACTCTTCTGGCACTGATGCTGTTCCCCAGTTGGGTCATGAAAGCTCTGCAAGGAAACGACCCAGCTCAGCACCAAGGGCCCCACAGTCCTTTTCTTCCTCTTCTGCTTCTCATCGTTCTTATTCTCCTTCTCCAAACCTCCCCTGCCTTCTAGCACTGATGCCATTCCCCACTTGGGTCATGGAACGTCTGCAAGGAAGACCAACTCAGCTCAGAGAGCACTGTGGATCCCACGGAGGGGGATTATTCCCAGACGCTTCATCCCCCCTTCTTTGTCCCTCACTGCTGCTGTCGCTCTTCCTCTTCCTCCAGGAAAGGGTGGCGAGACGGTGAGGGCCATATGCCGGAACACCGGGGCCAAGATTGACTGCAACCACGACGGGGAGGGTGCCCTGTCGCTCACCCGCGTCGTCACCCTTTCCGGGACTCGCAAGGAAGTCCAGGCTGCCAAGGTGAGAGTTTTGCCCCTTAAGCCGGGCTGGGTTTCTCTCTTCCCCAAGTCTGGGACTTGAACCAGCGGATCTCGAACCCGAGACGGGGTGGAAAAGTGTTGTAGCTTATGGTTCAGATAGTCCTCGACCTACGGCCACAATCGATCCCGAAATTTCTGATGCTAAGCGAGACATTTGTTGCCCAATCTCTGACTTCTTTTTCATCTTCTTTTAACGACCGCATAACCCCTTGCGGGGTGGAGTCTGGGCAACTGAATGGAGCTGAGTATTTACTGGCCAGATGCCCTTCTTGTCGCCAGTGCGGAGTTTTGTCCGGCAGATATATTCTCTATGTGCCCCAGAGAGAGAAATATCTGCCTCTACTTAGAATCAAACTCACAGCCTCCTGACTGTGAGGCGAGAGCTCCACCTCTAGGCCACCGCACCACTCAAATTTTCTGACTTTTCTTGCCACGGTTGTTAAGCGAATCGCTCCAGTTAAGTTAGGAACACGGTTGTTAAAGTGAATCCGGCTTCCCCCAACGAATTTGCTGATCAGAAGGTCACAAAAGAGAATCATATAATCCACTTCATTGAATTGTGTTGGAGACTATTAAATTTACAACTTTGGGCCCCTTGCAATGCTGGACCCCTTAGGGAAGGGGTTGCTGAGGTTGCCCCCTCCCTCGTTTGAGAATGGCACGGGGAGTTACCTTCCTGAGCCTCCTCTGGGAAGTGATGTAGCCTACCTCGTAAGGGCGTTGTGCAAAACACAGCACACGCTGTTTCCTCTAGGTAATTGAGGCTACAGTTCCCATCATCCTCAGATGGCCCGGCTGGAGAGAATCCAGGGCCCATGGAGAATAGAAATTAGGGGCCCCAGGGAGCTTGGGAGCAGACTCTCCACCTGACCCATTTTCTGCCGGCAGGAATCGATCCGCGAGAAACTATCGGAGGACGAAGCTTTCCGCAGTAAGTTGTTGCAGTCGGTGTCGGCACGTGTGCAGCGCAAGCAGCCGCTGGGCACCCGGAGGGAGATGGCAGCGGCCGGCGACTCAGGACAGCGGCCTTACTCGCACACGGAACCTCGCAGTCGGATGCCGGAAGTTGGGCACCTCCGCCGAGAGGCTGGCGACGGGCCACCGGATTATCGCTCGGGGGATCCCCCCGAGTCGAGCGGAGCAGGGTCCCCGATAAACCCCTGGCCTGCGCTGAGCTCCGTCTTTGAAGGTGAGCAACAAAATGGAGGGTAGACTGCTTCGGGACATGGAGGATCGGGCCAGGTCTTCTCGCCACTTAATGTGACAGTTCACTTAGTGACTGTTGGAAGTTAACGGCCGTGAAAAAAAAAAAGCAACTTGCGACCGTTTTTCACACAACCGTTGCAGCCTTCCCCGTGGTTGAAATTTAGACGCTTGGCAACTGTCTCGTGTTTATGACGGTTGCAGCGATCCCGTTTTGTGACCTCAGGAAATCAGCGGGGGAAAGACGGATTCATTTAACAACCGGGAGGCTAATTTATCAGCCGCACCGATTCGCTTAACATCCATGGCGAGGAAGGCCGTAAAATGGGGCAAAACTCACGGAACCCCATGTCTCCCTTAACAGCAAAAATGCAGGGCTCAATTGCGGCCATAAGACGAGGACCTAACCTGTATTTTGAAACACGGTTCATTTTCCCACTTTCAGAGAGCTACCCGAGGGCCTTCAACCCATCAGCCTTCGACACATACAGGTAAAGTCCATGACTCCCTAACCCATCTGCCTTGCCTCTCAGTCCCCAGCCCGGATTTCAGCCTCCACGGCAAGGATCACCTGGAGGTCTACGTCTCGGCCTCGGAAAACCCCAGCCATTTCTGGATCCAGATTATCGGCGTCAAAGCTCTCCGTCTAGATAAACTTGTCCAGGAGATGACAAAATACTACGAGAACAACGATGGCGGCGAGGTGAGGGCCCTTCCGGAAGTGGGGAACTGGGGGGAACCCCAACGCGGGAAGGCTGCGTAGCTTTCTGTCCCCCCAGACGTCACCCCTGTTCTCGTCTTTCCCCCCCCCTCCCCCCAGCTGGAAAGCGTGCAGGTGGGGGACATTGTAGCCACCTACTACCCCGAAGACCGTTCCTGGTATCGGGCCGAGGTCCTGGGGACCTTGGACAATGGCAATCTGGATATTTATTACGTGGATTTTGGGGACAACGGCGAGGCGCCCCTGGAGAAGGTGCGGCTGTTGCGGTAAGGGGCGGACCTGGGGTGTCGTAGTCCCGCCTAACGAGGGATCTGGAAATTCAGGTCCCGGGGTTCCTCGGTGGTCGTGGCCGAGAGCGAGAAGTTGTCCCCTGCTCGTGTTTGGCAATTAGTTCATATTTATGACGTGTGATTGCCTTTTGCGACCTTCTGTCAATAGGGGGACCCAGATTCAGTTTACAACCGTGTAACTAACTTAACAGCCGCCATGGCTCACTTAGCGACTGCGGCGAGAAAGTTCATCCTTTTGAGGCAAAGAACAACCGAGCGACAGAATATTGGGGCGAGAACTGGGATCTGGTGGCCGGGATTGGGGTCTTCTACTCCTCCTTTTAACCTCCTTTTTTTTCCCTCCCTTTTTTTTTTTCGTGGGGGGTGAAGGGGTGATTTCCTAGGCCTCCCCTTCCAGGCCATTGAGTGCAGCTTGGCCGGTGTGGCCCCTACTGGGGGTGAGTTTCTCCATCTTATTCCTTTCTGGGGAATTCTGGGAGTTGAAGTCCACCCATCTTGAAAGTTTATCCGCTGGCTGGAGAATTCTGGGGCATCCAGAGCCACTGAGCTTTTGCAATTAAGCTGCCCCCAAGGGCAGAATGATAGAAGTTTAATTCAACTTCTTTGACCTTTGATGGCTTCCTCCTCTAGGGCCACGTTGGGAAGAGGCCGCCCTGGATGAGTTTGACCGCCTGACCCACTGCGCCCAATGGAAATCGGTATTTTGCAAGATCTGCACCTACGTGCCCGTGGGCAGCAGCGTGCGGCCGTACGTCCGTTTGTTCAAGGCCACCGACGGGCAGGTGAGAGACCAATCCCCGGCTTGGATCTTCAAAGGGAAAAAACCAAAACGGCTTTCGGGGGGAGATTTGGCTCGCCGAGGGCAGCTTTTCAATCCGGCTTCTCTTCCCCAGTTTATCGACGTGGGAGAGGAACTGATCCGGTTGGGCTACGCGGTGCGGAAGCTGTCGGACGAAGATGGGGACGCCTCGATGGAACTGCCCGGAAACCTGGTTGGTAATCGGGATGTGGAGCCGGCCTCTTTTTTTGGGTTGGCTGATTTGGCAGGCAGTGGCTATGTGGCTAGTCCACATGAGGTCTATGTTGCTGCGGATGAGGATAGGAGAAGGATGGATTAGGGTAGGATAAGGAATAGGAAAGAAGGAAAGGAAGGGAAAAGAGGAAAGGAAAGGAAAGGAAAGGAGATGCATCATGAGTAAAAGGAGAAGAGCTGGGGGGGTTGCCTGTTGGGGGGCTACAAAGATCTGCCATCGATCGTGCAAAGATATTTGGAGGGGGGGGCTTCCTTCCCCCCCTCCAGATTTTTATTTTATTCAATAGTAAGTTAAAACACCAAACTTCCAAAAGTCCCCAAAACAAAAACCTCAGAACGAAAGAAACAAAAGACACAACATTTTTTAAAAGGTGCGTTTAAAAAAAAAAAACCCAATACATATATACATGTTATCTTCCCCCCTCCTTTGAATATCGATTTAATATATTATTACAATATTAATTCCTGCCCCTTGCAAAACCTTTCTCTGCTTGTCTCCCTAGAGAAACTCTGCAGGGATGTCGTTGGAGAATTTATCCGGTACGCAACAAGAGTCCTGAGGAGATGTCCTGCCCCAGCCTGCGTGTGGTCTTTCGACAACCAGATCCTAAAGACCCACAACTGCAGAGGGCCATGCGACCTTCCCCCGGTTGGATCAGACAAAGGGGCTCAAAATCCACCCCCACCCCCCAAAATGATTGCTGAGTTTCTTATTCTCTCAAAATCAACTGGCGTTTTTCTTTCAACCTATTTTATGTTTTCCCTGCTGGCTATAAACAAACTCCTGGCCTCCTTTGGGATCCTTCTCTCTCCCTGCACCCCCCACCCCCCTTTTCCTACCCTCCCACCCCTACCCAAAATGCCAATCTTGTCTCTTGATCCTGCAGAGATGGCCTCTGTGTCGGAAGGGGAGGAGAACTCGGTGATGCTATGAGAGCCTCCGCAGGAAGGCAGGTGAGGAGTAAAATGTTGGGTGATTGTGCACCAAGAATAAATTGTGGGGAAGGTTTGGATTGCTTGGTCCCAATCTGGGGGCTTTGAATTTTGCAGACCTCCCAGTCCAGATTTAATAGCTTTCTCAAAAGTCCTCGGCAGCGGGGGGGCGTTCAAGATCCTTCCACCTTCTCAATGTGGCCGTGTCCATCTACCATTTAGAAAAATTTAATCCATGATGGCTTGGTGTAAACCAGGTTCCTCAGCCCTGGAATTTGGGGGCTGCCTTAATTGCGATTCGCATCCCAGATCCAACCCCTTTGGAAGGGAGTGGGTTTTTTCGTTTCTTTTTTCCCCCAGTGAGCGGATCTTAAAACTTCTGCCCATGTTTTCCCTTTCCTTTGCTGCAGATGGAAAGATTTGTTTCTTGGAAGGGACCGCAGAAAGATCCCACCCGCCGGAGGGACCGTTTGGAATCTTGTGGGGGACACGCCAGCCCCCCCCCCCCCACCAATCCCTCCCCCCCCCCCCCAAAAAAGGGACTTCTACTATAGCACTGTTTGGCTGCGCTGGGTAGCTTTTGAACGGCGAGCTGAGTTTTAATCAAATTTCAGCCGCTTTTGTGTCGCCATTTCTCTGGGAAGTTGCACAGAAAGACGGGAGGGGGCTGGCTGTGTTTCTGCCCCCCCAAACCTGAGTTTACGTTCATGTTGGGCTGTTAAGACCCTGAGTCCATCCCTCGTTTTTTTTTTGGTCCCCACCTGACTGGAAAGGTTGGGGCGGCCTTGCGTTTCATTGGCCTTAAGCCACAGTGCCAGACAACCCTGGTGGAGGGGGGGGGGGAAACGGGGGTCTAAATGGACAGGGATAATATATTAGAGGGAGAGTTTGTTTGGCAAGAGGTCTGTTTTGGAAAGCAACACAAAGCGTTAAAAACGCGAAGGGCAGCGATGAGACAGCTGCAGCGACCAAGATGTCTCGGTTTATATATATATATTTTGTCTGAAATAAAAGGCTAGTGTTTAGCAGTTCCTTTCCCGAGTCAACAATGCAGCCGGGAGGGGAGGGGGGAGATTTCAGCCCGTGGGGAGGGAGGGGCAGAATTGTGGGGTGGCGGGGGGGAAAGTGGGAGGGCAGGAAGGATGAGGTTCTCCCCTTCCATAACTTCTTACCCCTCCCTCCCTCCTTCGTCTCATAAGCTGCTACGCTTTCATGCCACTTTAATGCCTTTTTTGGGGGGGGGCTCTGAAATCACACTGCTCCGAACCGGGGGGGGGGGGGGGGGCGGAGGTTTCCCCCATCGGCACCAGCCTTTCCTGCCTCCGGGCCCCACGAGCGTCATTCTTGCTTTCGTTGGGGGTTCCAGCCGAGATCGCGTTCCAAGGGATAAGCCATGAAGATGGTGTCTTCCCAGGGGGGCAGGCCGGGGTGGTCGGGGGTCACGAGTTCGAAACCCAGGAAGCCGAAAGCTCGTAGCAAGTTGCCTGAAGAGAGAAGGGGAAAGCAGGATTAGCGGGTGCAGGGCTTTATTACTTTGTGCCCTTCTGCTCCTCTTGGCAAGGTGTTGGCCTGCTGGGAAGGTACAGGTAGACAACAGTTCATTTAGTGACAGTTTGATGCTACAACGGCACTAAGAGAAGTGACATAGGACCGGGTTTTTTTTCAGACTTAACGACCGTTTCAGCGTTTTCCCCCACGGCCACGCGATCAAAATTTCTTCTTCCAATTTCATTCTTAAATTCTCCTTTTTTCTTTTATAATTGTGATTAATGAGGCATTCTCAACCCATATTTTTTTCCCCCCCGAGGCTTGAAAATTTGCTCCCAGACAAAACCACCAGGATAAAAGTTCAAAAAACTTATATTACCTCGGTCTCGCCGAGCCTTACGGAAGTTGACCAGCACCTGCTCTGCGCCCGTTTTTTCTTCGATGTATTCCAGCGTGGCGGTCAAGCTAGAGGATCAGACAGACGGTCAGCAATTCCAAGTTTTATAATAACCCAACCTTGCAAAGGAAAGATTTCTGACTGTCCTGATCGAATCAGATTAACAGAGTCGGAAGGGACCTTGTAGGTCATCTAGTCCAACCCCCCTCTGCCTAAGCAGGAGACCCTACACCATTTCTGACCGATGGCAGTCCAGTCTCTTCTTGAAAGCCTCCAGGGATGGAAGCTCTCACAACTTCCAAGGCAACTTCCGTTCCATGGGTTGATTGTTCTCACCGTCAGAAAATGTCTCCCTTATTTCCAGGTTGAATCTCTCCTAGTTCAGTTCCTTGTCTGGCCTTCAGGTGGCTTGGACAATAGGTTGACCCCTTCCCCTCTGGAAGCCCCTCAAATATTGGAAGGCTGCTATCATGCCTCCCCTGGTCCTTCTCTTCACTAGACTAGCCATGCCCAGTTCCTGCAACCACAGGACATTGCAACCGTCATAAATACAGGCTGCTTATCTGAATTTTGATCCCATGGGGATGCTCAGATGGTTGTAAGTCTGAGGACTGGTTGCAAGTCACTTTTTTCAGTGTCGTAACCTTGGTCACTAAACATGGTTGTAAATCGAGGACTAACCTGTTAACTCCAGAGAAACTTAGCAGTAAGGAGCAAGAATCCACTTGCTTTCCGGATTCCTATTGGTTCTTGAGAACTAGCAATTTGCTTCCTATTTTTTAAACCAAACTTTCCTTCCTTCTGGAATGCCAAACCTTGGTCCAAAATGCCACCTCTTTTTTTCTGCGTTTTAAACACGGATTTTTGCCGCCTCACCTTTCCCGGCTGTTGAAATCCAGCGCCAGCCGAGGGGTGTCCAGGAAAAGGGTACGTCCCTGCAGAAGACCATGCCAATGACTGGCACCCTGGCTGCCACGGGTGAAGTGAAAATCCAGACACGCTGGCCACCCGGGCTGTTGAGGGTCGCTAGCAAAAACAGTGAGGTTGGCAGCCTGTTTAAGGAAGCATGAAACACCGGTTAGGCCATTCAGACGTTGCAGTGAAAAGTTGCACGCTTCTACATTAAATATTTCCTTTTTCTTTAAAGCGCTTCTCTGCTTCTAAGGGAGAACCGTAATAGTCTGGCAGTATAAATAGTGGGTTGTTTTTTTTCAAATTGGCAACTTTTTTTTTTAAGTTTTTCATTTTATTTCTGATAACATAAAATGTACATTTTGTTATACATAATTAATCCTACCTATACATGTTTTCCTTAAAGCATTAAAATAAGGCTTTTTAATTTAACCCTTTCTTCCTTCATTTCATAACAACCCTTCTCTTTCCCTTCCCTCCCTCCCTCCTCTCCTCTCCTACTTTCTTCTTCCTCCTCTCCTACCTCATCCTACTTCTCTTCCTTTCTCCCACTCCTTTTCCCCCTTCTCTCCTACTCCCCTACCCTTCCTTCCTCTCCTTTTCCCTTCCTTCCATTCCTCTCCCTCTCCTCTTCCTACCCTCTACTCCTCTCTCCTTTCTATCTTCTTTGCTGTGGAATATTCTTGTTTGGTATCCGAGCAACTCCTGTATTCTAATAGTACATACTTCCTTTCAATTTCTTTTCAGGTTTTATTCTATCAGTATTATCATAATTGTACATTCTTATTATCTTCTTTCTTTCCCCCCCCCAAGCCCCTTTTTCATTTACTCTGTGTCATCTAAATTGACAACTTTTAAGATGGCTAGATTTCAAATTCACTCAATTGTACTGATGTCAGATATATGTTGGGGATTCCTTACCTTGTAGATCTCAGTCGGGCTAGGCCAGTCTGCCGGGCTGCTGGGGCCGGACCGGTTGGGGCTGGCACCCTCGAACTCAGGAGCACTGCGGGCAGTAGCGAGGACGGGTACTCAAAGTTTCGGGGCGGGCAAGGGTCGCCCTGGCAAGAGGAGAAGAGAGAAAGTGACATTTTTCCATCCTTTACATTTTGGGGGGGGGAAATTATTTTATTTAACCCCCAAGCTGCAAACGTGAACAAGTTTGCAAACTGAGAAAAAGAAGGTTTGCAAAGTGTGTGCAAAATGCAAGGGCCAAAGTTGAAATGGTTTCCCATTTCTCTCGCCTTCCGGGTGATCTTGGGTTATCCAAGAACAAGCCATCGCGGACCGTCGGGCTGGCACAACAACCGGAGTGTAAAATTCTAGCAGGAAGTTTTAAAGTTTTCCTCTGCCAGCGAGCATCCCAGGGACCCAAACGAGTCGGCCTGGGGCCTGAACGGGAAAGGATCTGGGTCTGCCAGGTTTGGCCACCAGGGGTCAGCAAGCCACGATTGTTGGCTTAGCCTCGAGTGAGCCAGTTGTGACGGGCAGCGGTGCCCAGATGGCGCTGCGGAGGCTCACTCGCTGTTTGAGGGGGTCATTTTTCCTCGAGTGCGAAGTTCAGATGAAGCTCTAAGGGGGGGGCCCAAGCAGGCTTAACGTCGCCCCAAAGCAGGCAGCGAGGTCCCTGGATGATCTCTGGCTCTTGGGTGGCATCTGCCCAGGGATGAGTGGCCCCTGAGGGGCAAGGGACCCAAGTCAAGGGACCCATTGTGACCCACACTGGCAACCGGAGGCACAACAGACCACCCACCCATTGTGACCATAATGCTAAGCTCCTCCCACTTCTGGCCCCTCCCATAGTGGCTTGTCTACATGCCCCCCCCTCGAAACTGGTTTATGGGGAGCTGGGATTGCTTGATGTGTCACCCCCGTTTATAACCCCATTTATAGCCACTTGGGTGACTTGTTTTTAAAGATTAAGACATTGGGGGTTGTGGGAAAGAAAACACTCTGTACATGCTCAGAGGCACGGCGCCTTTGGGGAATTCTTTCTGCTCTGGAAGGGAAGAAGCTTTTTGTACCCTTTCACCCACCCACCCACCCAAATTAGAGGATCTTTGGGGCCTTTCTCGTGTTCAGGAGGAAAAGCTCTCTGTGCATGCTCAGAGGCACTGTGTTCTCTTCTGTTCGGCAGAGAGCCCTCTGTGCATGCTCAAAAGACTGCCACGCTATTACAGCTTTGCATCCATGGCTGGGAGGCAGGATGCCTTCGCTGGTGACACAGCCCTCTTTACATGCTCAGAGACCCCTTCATTTTCACCCCATTAAAGCTTTGGGGAGGGGAAGAGGCGCTCTGGCCACACTCAGCCCCAAGAGCCCTGTATGGAGGGGCACCCCCCCCCCCCACCACCACCACCTCGGTATCCCTCCGGCCCGGCCGAGCCAAAAGCCGGGGGCTGCCGTGGCGCCGCCGCCCGCGGGAAGAGAGCCATGCCCGGCAGGCGACGCTACGCGAGGCCGGGGCTTAATCGCGGCCTGGCGGGTCTCGGCGCCTGCGCAGTCGTCGGGGGGAGGGGCCTGCAGCAGGGCGGCGGGAGCCATGATGGCGGCGGGGCTGTGGCGGGCGGCGCGGGGGTCTCCGGCGGGGTCTCTCCCGCTTCTCCTGCCCAGGGGGCTGCTGCACCTCTCGGCCCCGCGGGTGAGCGCGGCAGGGCCGGGCCGGGAAGGACCCTTCGGGGTCCGTTCTGGCGGGGAAGGGCAGGGTAGCCCTGGCTGGCGGGGAGGTGGGTAGGAGGAAGGGATGGGGGACCACCAGGAGAGAACTGGTGCTGCCCAAGGCCAAAGAGTGGGGTGGGTGGGTGGTCTGAATGGGCTGCCTGGACACGGATAAGCTGGGAAGGAAGGAAGGAAGAGAAAAGGGGAAAGAAGAGAAAAAGGAAAAAGAGGGAGGGAAAGGAGAGAGATTGTTGGAAGGAAGGAAGGAAGGAGATGGATGGGTAAATAGGGAAGGAAGGAAAAAGGGAGAGGAGGAAAGATGGAAGGAAGGAAGAGAAAAAAGAGGGAGAGGAGGGAAGAAGGAAGGAAGGAGATAGATAAGGCAAAGGAAGGGAAGGAAGGAAAAAGGCAGGGAGGACGGAGGAAAGAAGGAAGGAAGAAAACAAAAAGGGAGGGCGGAGGAGGGAAGGAAGGAAAAGAAGGGGAAAGAAGAAAAGGAAAAAGAGGGAGGAAAAGGAGAGAAATTGTTGGAAGGAAGGAAGGAGATGGATGGATAAATAGGGAAGGAAGGAAAAAGGAGGGAAGAAGGAAGATGGATGGATAGGGAAGAAGGAAGGGAATAGAAAAAAAGGGAGGGAGAGGAGGGAAGAAGAAGGAAGGAGATAGATAAGGCAAAGGAAGGGAAGGAAGGAAAAAGGGAGGGAAGAGGGAAGGAAGAGAAGAAAAAGGGAGGGCAGGAGGAGGGAAGAAGGAAGGAGATGGATGGATAGATAGGGAAGAGGAAGGGAAGGAAGGAAAAAGAGGGAGGTAGGAAGAGAAGAAAAAGGGAAAAGTGAAAGAAAAAAGAAGAGGAAGGAAAAGTAAAGGAGAGAAGGAGGGACGAAAGAGTGAAAAGGAGAAATGGTTGCATGGAAAGAAGTAGAGAAAGAGGAAAAGGAGGGAAGAGAAAAGGAAAAATAGGAAGGGAGGGAGGGAAGACGGAAGGATGAAAGGAAAGATGGAGGGAAGGAAGGAAGGAAGAGAAAGAAGAAAAAGGAAATGCTTCAGAAAGCCTCTTCCAGCCCCACCATCCCGGGATTTTGGCCTGGCTGCTTCATATACACGTGGCAAGTCCTGCATTTCCCCCAAAGCAATTAAAAATCTCGGTTAAATAAATCCCTCTTTGTTTGGGGGAACAGGATGGGACCAGACGGCCCGTGTCCGAACCTTTCCCCAACTTCTCTGCCTTGCAGGAGACGGTCATCGTGGAGCGCTGGTGGAAGGTTCCGCTAGGCAAAAAAGACCGAGAGCCTCGCATCAAACACCCCCGTTACCGCGTCTTCCGTCTGGTGGAGGACCTCAAGCACTGCCCCAAAGAGCCCCTCGAACTCATCCTCACCGAACCGGTGGAAGGTACGAGACCCTCCGGCCGCTGACCTCCACACCGGTGTAGTCCTCGACCTGCGACCATAAGGGAGCCCAACGTCCCTGGGTTAAGACAGGAACGTTTTCCTAAGTTGAGTTTTGCCGCGCTTCACGGCCTCTCCTGCCCCTTTTTCCGGTGCCGTGGTAACTGAACAGTCGTTTAGTGACGTTGTAAGTCGAGGACTACCTGTACATGGGCAGGAGCCAAGGACAATACACACACACGAAAGCCTGGGTCTAATTTTTTCTCCGTATCTCGATTTTCAGACGTTGGAAACCGGGGCGAAACCGTCTTCGTCCACAGATCTTTTGGGCGTAACCATCTCCTGTTCCACCACCGGGCCGTTTACGCCTCTCCAGAAAACAAGAAGTTTTTCGAAGAGGAAAACCGAGTAAGTTTGCTCCACCAGGATCTAGGCTCCCGTATGCAGCCGGAAAATGAGAGGGAAAAAAAATCTGATTTTTTGTTTTTTTCTGCATCTCCTCTTCTGTTTTAGTTACGTGAAGAAGGGAAGCTGCCGAGATTACAAACTCACAGCGGTAGGAAGGTGAGGCTGGGAAGAATTAATGGGGAAATAGTCCTGTTTCGGGAGGATAATTGGCAGGACATTTTCCAAATATTATTGATGAGTGAGCTTTATTTGAAAGCTGAATTGTGGAGAAGAAGCTGCAATCCATCTATCCATCCATCCATCTATCTATCTTATCTATATCTATCCAATCTATCATCTTCTTTTAACGACCCTATAATCGCTTGCATTGGTGTGGAGTCTGGGTAACTGAATGGAGCTGAGTGAGAGTTTACTGGCCGGATGCCCTTCCTGTCACCAATGCGGAGTTTATTTCATCAGATATATTCTCTCCCAAAATTTGAATTTTACTCCTATTCCCTCCTTTCTCCCAAAACCTAAGCTAGCAAATCCAGAGCGGTTAATATATAAATTTATATATATATAAATATATATACATACACTTAAGTTTTGTTTTTGTTTTTTATCATTTCTGATCATGCTTTGGAGGAACTTCAGCTAAAACGGCTGAGTTCCCATCTCTCCTTCCCTTAGTTGACCAACTGATTTAAAGATTTCCCTTTTCTTTAGACTGTCCGGTTCCTGAAGAATTGCACCCTGGAGATCGGCGTGAACGAGTGTGACCAGTGGGAGCTGACGAAAGAAATTGTCTGCCGGCATTTCCTCCGAAACGTGAGTTTATACATTTGTGGGGGTCCTTGGGTCTCTCTCAGCTTGGTGGTTTTCTTGCAGACGTCTTGTTACGCAACTACGTAACACTATCAGTGCTAGGGTGTGGGGTTTGCTCTTATTTTTATATACTGGTGGCTTGTCCTGTGTCGGTGGGAGGAGCCTTGGTGATTTCTTGATTAAGTGATGGTTTGTTGTTAGTCTATCTGTTTGCAGTGGTAATTCCTTGATTGGGGTATTGTCAAGAGTGCTAGTGTTGATTGTGGTGTTAATCTCTGCTCATTGGTGTGGTAGTTGCTGGTGAGGAGATGTTTTATCTGTTTGTGTTCATTTCACGTGAGACTAATGGAGATGTCAGCCTTAATACAGGTAAGTCCTTGACTTACAACAGTTCATTGAGTGACTACCAAAGTTACAACGGCACTGACTTATGACCTTTTTCAGTTACAACATCCCCTCGGTGATGTGTGATCAAAATTCCACCTCGTCTTAGATTGAAACGCAACTTTGAAACGCATTTGCAACCCTATTTTTAAGGAGCTGTATGTGTCCCCCCCCCTTCTTCTGTTTCCCCCCCCCAGTTGGGAGTTGTAGTGCCCCCCCAGGCGCTGACTCTCCCGGAAGAACCCATCACCAAACTGGGCAGTTACTGGTGCGACGTTACGGTAAGCTCCCTCTCGGACTTCCTGCGAGGTTTTGTGGCTTGGCAATCTGCAGTGCGCCAAACGGGGAGATTTGACGATATCATAGAAAGGGGGGAAAAAATGAAAAAATAAAACAAAACGGGCCCATTAGCAAAGGAGCCTCTTGTGCAGGAATAGTCTACCTGTGGATAGCAGTAGTGGAGGGCAGATAACCAGGGAGAGGTTGCCTTTTTGTCTTCCCTCTGTGGCAGCCCTCCGAGCTGGGTGGTTTCCTTGCAGAGTTTCATGACCCAACTAGGTAACATTATCAGTGCTAGAAGGGAAAGAGGCTTGTGTAGAAAAAGAGGAGGACTGGGAGATCCTTGGTGCTTTCCAAACTTGGTTTTCTTGCAGATGTTACCCAAGTTAGATTAGCACTGATAGCGTTGCCTAATTCGGTAATGAAATGTCTTCAGGAAAAACAATGGAAACTTTGGGGTTTTTTTCCCTCCCCTCCCTGGCTTCCAGACCTGCCCAGGTAGTCAGAATGGAGCATCCGGGGGTGGGCACCCCAAGGCTAAAATCCTTACCCCACTTTCTCCAAAGAGAACGCTGAATGCCTAAAGCACCTGCCGTCCAACAGAGAAGTTGAGTTTTCGTACTAGGAACTCCCAATTTACTCACGTTGGTCTTCCGGGGCTGCTCTCCTCTTCTCTTCCCTTCCTCCTGCGTTGCAGGTGAATGGGCTCGACACCGTCCGCGTCCCCCTCTCGGTACAGCTGTTTGCCGAACCGAAATCCAACAGCCAACGGCTTTGGCTCGCCCAGAAGGAACCGGAAGTCGCCGACAGAGAAGCGGGAAAACCTTGAGGCCTTCGCGGAAGAGAGGCTGGGAAAGGGACTTTTCTCTGCGGCTCCAAAATCGGAGCTTAGGATATTTTTTTTCTAGCCAAAAACTCCTTTTAGGAGGGGGGGGGATTTCCTTGAGCTGAGCACGGGTGGGTGAAGCCCGCTGCTCTTCCCGTCTCTTAAAACCTCGTGGGGGGACACAAGGGGATCCTGTTTGGGGTGCTCCGGCCAGCAACTCTGCCCAGAAACGGGGAGGGACTGCAGGAACCGGTGAATAAACCATCCACCTTATTAATATTTGCTTTTTCGTGGCGATGAGCAGTTTGTAAGGCCCCCTTAGAAAGAAGAGCTGCGCCTTTTAGAGGTTTTAATGGTAGGCAAAATCCATAGTCCTGCCTGTTGAAAGGGGTTTGTGGTTGATAAGAGCAGGCCTGATGGCTTGAATTGAGTGGCTTCCGATCCCTTGTTCAAGGGGGTGGGGGATGTCATTTATTTTTTCCGGGACTCGCCCAGCAACGTAACGGGGAAACTCGACTTCGGCTAGATTACCCGGAGGCCGAATACCAAAGTGGGTGTTAGAAGCAGAAACGCGGCCGTGACTTTGCAAGCAACTCGAGCAAACTCAAAAGAATTATCCATTAAAATTCAAAGAACTATTCATTAAAACTCAAAAAGAATTACCCGCTAAAAAGATCTGCAGTTCCTGAGTTTAAAATCGGCAGGACGGGGCGGCGGGTCGATAGCTTAAATCAAACCTGCTTCTGCTCGGTTTTTTTAAGTCCCCTAATGCTTGAAGCGCCGCTAATTATTCGGCTAAACTTAGTTGCAAAAAGGCAAAAACAAAAACCCAGGAAGAGTTTTCCCACAAAGAGGTCTAGATCCGAACTCGAGACTCGCAACAGAGTTAGTGAAAGGGACTGTTTTCTCTCTTTATTTGGGGAGGGGGGGCGTTTTTGCTCATCTTCACTGCCTGTTTCTTAGCTTCGCTGCTCCTCCCAGTGTGCCAGGCTTCTTGCGGGAAACGACGGGGGCACATCCCAGAATGTCCTGTTTGCGACAATGTTTCAGACATCGCGAAGCTGCTGTTGCACAATTGTCCCTCATTGCATTAACAGTCCCGTCTCGGCACCGACTGGAACAAGCTGCCCCCGGTCGGTGTCCTGTCCCTTGGCACCACGATGGGTCTGCTGCCGGTTAATTTATGCCCACCCATGCCTCTCCTCCTCCCTGTCTCCCCCCACCACCACCACAAGGGAACACAAAAGCTGCCAGGCCCTTCCGAGGGCCAACCCGCACACCCCTCCCAGTGTCGTCCATCGGGGAAGATAACGGGAAAAGTTTGCCCGCCAGCCCCCGCTCTTAAGAGCAGAGGAGGGACGGCTGCCAACAATCTCATTAGGGCCCTACATGAGGATGCTGGGGGAAGGGAGGGGGGTCCGTCCGGGATGCTCCGGCGGAGCAGGGCATGAATATTCACGCGGAGCTGCGCCTGCTGCAGAAGAGCCATCCATTACGGCGGGCTTGACGTCCCACCTTATCAAGGTGACTGCTGAGATAATGTCGGCAGAGCTTGCCAGGCCTGGGATGGGAGCGAGGGGGGGGAGAGACTGCGGGCACGGCGGCCCTGGATGTGGGAGGGTCTCCCAAGAGTCATCTGATGGGGTCTGCAAGGAAGGAGAGGTGGAAAGGCAGCCTTCCAAAAGGGGTTAGGTATCGGGGTGCCCGTTGCAGGTTCTGTGAGTTGCAGACCTGGGTAAAGGGGGTCTCTGCAGGGGAGGGTGGCACAGGGGTCTTCTGAACCCCGACATACTCAGCGTTGCAAATCCAGCTCTTGCTTGTCTTGGCTGCCCCGTCGGCTCTGCCACAAATGCCACCTTTGCGCGTGGCATGGGGCAAAAGGGCATTTTCCATGATGGTGGAGCAGCCGTGGGGTGGGGGTATTCCTGTCGTCCCCCTTGCCCCCTCCCCCCCCGGACTTTTGACTAGCAACTTAGCACAACCGGTTAGTAAGCCACAGTCCTCGGCTTAACGACTGCAATGGAACTCCACGTTCCCGTTGCTAAGGGAGATATTCGTTAAGTGCGTTTTTCACCCCACGTGTTACGGCTCACTGCAGGGGTTAACGTTAGTGGCACAGTTGTTCAGCGGATCTGATTTCCCCATTGATTTCGCTGGTCAGAAGGTCGCAAACGGGGATCATGAGACCCCCCCCAGCAATCGTCATAAATGCGAGGCCGTTGCCAACTGGCTGGATTTTGATCACCTGACCACAGGGATCTACAATGGTCGTAAGTGTGAAAAGCGGCTCTAAGTCACTTTTTCCAGCGACGCTGTAGCTTTGAACCGTCACTAAATGAACCGTTGTAAGTTCAAGGACTGCCTGTACAGGATGCAACCATGCCTGGAATTGCCTGGCGTTTCAAACCCCCACCAGGTGGGGAAAAAATGAGCAATTTTCATGCATTTTGTGGGTTTATTAACAACTGATGAAAAGGAAAGAGATTCCAAGAAATATAATAATTGGAGGGGGGGGGGATTATTTAAATTTTCAAAGCAGGAGGCCCTTAAGTGGCCTGGTTTAGCTTCTCCATCATCTGTTGCTGGATCTTTTTCGGCAGCTCCGGGTTGGTGAAATAGTCTGGAAGGTGAAATGGGGAGGGAAACGGGGTTTAACACCAGCCCTGCTGTGTAGGCGGCCACAGGAATCGGGAATCCTGTGGATCAAAGCAAGGGAAAGGCCTCTGGCACCGCGACTCGAACTCGGGGCCCCCTGTGGACGTGACGGTGCTATCCCTGGATGAGCTTTTTCTCACTGGAGGTTTTCAAGAAAAAGATTGGACGTCTCTTTGTCCAGGATGGATGAACTTTCCGCCAGGGAGGGTTGGACTAGATGACCTCCAAAGTCCCTCCCAGCCCTAGGATTCTGTGTGTCCCCTCGATTGCAAATCTGGGATTTATTTAGCCTAGTTGGTTTCTCTGCTTTGCGCTTTTTTTGCTTTTGCTTTTTAATTTTAATTTTGCTTTTGCTCCTGGGGAGTGTGTCTCTTGTGTGCCAGATCCCAGGTGCGCAAACGGCAGAGGGAAGCACTCTGCACATGGTCAGGGGATGGTGTCGCACGCCTCTGGGGCTCTCTCTGCCTGACGCTATTCTCCCTCGGGGCTCTGTCTGTCCTTAGAAGCTAAACATTTCTCTTGCAAGGCGGTGCTGATTTAGAAACATCCTTGCAAGGAAAATGTTATTTAAAGAAGAGAAGAAAGGGAAAAAAGAAGGAAGGAAGAGATAAAAAAGGGAAGAAAGGAAGGAAAAGGAAGAAATCAAAGGGAAGGAAAGAAAAAAGGGAAGGAAGGAAGAGAAAGAAAAGTGGGGAAAGGAAGGAAAAGAGGAAATGGAAGAAAAGGGAAGGAAGGAAGAGAAAAATGGGGGAAAGGAAGGAAAAGAGGAAATGGAAGAAAAGGGAAGGAAGGAAGAAGGAAGGAATAAAAAGGGGAAGAAAGGAAGAAATCAAAGGGAAGGAAAAGAAGGAAGGAAGAGAAAGAAAAATGGGAAGAAAGGAAGGAAAAGAGGGTAGGGAAGAAAAGGGAAGGAAGGAAGGAAGAAAAAAGAAAAAACAAGGGAAGGAAGGAAGTTTAAAGGGAGAACAGTTTAAAGTTTAAAACAGCCGAATCAACTTTCAAGATCCTCTTCGATGCAGAACCTTCAGAAGTTGAATTTAAGCGGCCATTGATTTTAGTCTGAACAATCAGCAAGTTATTATTAATTAATCGCAACAGAGTTAGGCCCCTTTCTTGAAACCTTACTGAGCTTGGGAGCGGGTTCTGCTTTGCTTTTTATTTTTATTTTATTTAAGCCCTGCTTGCTCGGCCCTCTCCAGGGATCCCTCCCGACGGAAGGATTAATCGGGGGTCCAAAATAATCCACATTAAAGCTCCGGGGTTGGGCATCTGATCCGGGCAGGAGGAGACGTCCTTGCGGTGAAGGGAGAACATTGGAGGGGGCCACGAAGCCGTCTGGCCAAAAATAAAATCAGAATTTTTTCCACGGTGCCCATCCGATCCCAGCCAATCGGCAGCCCAGGCTGTTGTGTTTTGCACGCGCGTCGATTGGACACCGACACTCCAGATCTCCCCAATGGGGTGTTGTTGAAATAAATTTTAATTCTCACCTGCTGCAAATTCTCGGATATTCTCCGGACGTTTCATCAAGACGTCTCTGGAAATCACCAAAGGGCGAGGAGGAGGAGGAGGGGGGGGAAACAACAGAAAAACAGATTTTCAAAGACTTTTTTTTTTCCTGAAGACCCCCCCCCCCCCTGAATCTCCCACCCTGGCCGGCCGGCCTCGTCCCTTGTCAAATTGGTAAATGACCCCCCCTTCCCTTATCGAGAATCGATAAGGCAATTAGAGACACAGGAGAAACGTTTAATTTATATCTGCCCTCGTTCTGCGGCCGGCAGGAAAATAAAAACGGGTCTGGGGGCCCGAACGGAGCTTTCGATGGGAAAATTAAAACCCTCCGAAAAGGCCTTACGAGAGTCAGCCGGCCGAGGAAATATTTATAACAATTAAAAATACCTTCTTTTTTTTTGTCTGAACAGTTGCAACTACACCGTTCAGGAATCGATAAAGCAATTAGCAAAGAGCTCCAGAAACCGAGGTTTGTTTTTTTTTAAAAAAAAAGTTGGTTAAAAGAAATTTACCGTTTTATAAAACCTTAGTAAGGCCACACCTGGAATCCTGCAACCAATTTTGGTCACCACACTATCCAAAAAAAATAAAAAGGATTTCGAGATTTTGGAAAAAGTGTAGAGAAGAGTAAGATGATCAAAAGCCTGGAGACTAAAACGTACGAAGGACGGCTTCAGGATTTGGGTTTGGCCAGTCTAGAGAAAAGAAGAATTAGGGGGGGGACATGTATTTGAGGGGCTGCCCCAAAGAAGAGGGGGGGTCAAATTATTCTCCAAAGCACCAGAAGGCAGGTCAAGAAGCGATGGATGGAAATTAATCAAGGAGAGAAGCAACCTGGAATTAAGGAGAAACTTCCTAACAGTGAGGACAATTCACCAGTGGAACCACTTGCCACTAGAGGTTGTAGGTGCTTCATCGCTGGAGGTTTTTAAGAAGAGACTGGACAGTCAGTTGTCTGGAATGATGTAGGGACTCCTGCTTGAGCAGGGGGCTGGACTAGAAGACCTCCAGGGTCCCTTCCAGCTCAATTCTATTCTAAATTGAACCGAGGAAGGAAAGGAGAAAAGCCACGTCGATCTGAAAGCCGGTTCAATTCTAGAATCGTGGCGAATTGGCCACTAAGTGGGAGAAGCCGCACATCCGTTATTACAGGTTGTCCTCGACTTAACGACCGCAACAGCCCGGATTCTCTGTCGCTAAGTGAGACAGCTGCTAAGTGAGCGTTGGCTCATTTTATGAGCTTTCTTGCCACGGTTGCTCCGTGAATCGCCACCGTTCTTAAATTAGTCGCACGGTTGTTAAGTGAATCTGGCTTTCCCCCATGGTCAGAAGGTCGCAAAAGAGAATCACGAGACCCCTGGGATGCTGCAACCGTCATAAATATGAGTCAGGGCCCAATGTTGGTCATGTGACTCGGGAGATGCTGCAAAGTTCATGTGAGAAACATTCATAAATCACCTTTTTCCTGGGCCTTGGAGGGTTGGACTAGAAGACCTCCAAGGTCCCTTCCAACTTTGTTATTCTGTTGACTTCAAACGGTCACTAAACGGTTGTAAATCAAGGATTACCTGTAATCAGTTGAGCAAGAAAAAAGTGAGCTGCCTTGAGGAAGAAAATGTTTTTTTTAAATCCTCTTTTCGCTCGTTCCTGGAAACCAACCTGAGAAATCCGGACAGCAGAACCTCAATTTCGGTGTGAGCCCGGAGATATTTTTCATTGTTAATTTTGGTGTTGATCTGAGGGGGAAAAGATACAAAAGGAAGACACAAAAAAGGTCCCAGTGATTTGAAAGATCTCTCGGGCCCGGCTTGGTTCGAAACGATTATATTCCTAAAATTGCACGTTTGGTGGTTTCCCCCTTCCCTTACAAAGCCAGCCTACCCTGCAGGGTGGTGTGGAAGATAGAAATGGTAAAACCGCATCGGAGGCTTCAGATCTCCTAAGGAAATTATTTTCTGCAGTCTAACGCCGGCACTCGCTGGGCGTGTTTTCCGGACAGGGATTTTTCCTAGTTTTTTTGCCTGTTGTTTTGTGTGTCGGTGTGTTTGTGGCAGCCAATAATAATAATAATAATAATAATAATAATAATAATAATAATAATAATAATAATAATAATAATAGGAGAAGAGGGAAGGAGGAGAAGAGGAGGAAGAGGAGTAAAAGAAAGTAGGAGTAAAAGGAGAAGAGGGGAGAAGAGGAAGAGGAGTAAAAGAAGAGGGAAGGAGAAGTGGAGGAAGAGGAGTAAAAGGAGGAGAAGGAGAAGAGGGAAGGAGGAGAAGAGGAGGAAGAGGAGTAAAAGAAGAAGGAGAAGAGGAAAGGAGGAGAAGTGGAAGAAGAGTAAAAGGAGGAGAAGGAGAAGAGGGAAGGAGGAGAAGAGGAAGAGGAGTAAAAGATGAGTGCAGGGGAGTGGGGAACAGAAAGGGAGGGTTTGGGGGCTGGAAGTCAGTGTTGGCTTCGATTGAGTCGGTTAGAATGTCATGCTTAATAAAATGGGAGTTTTTCATCAAAGACTTCGTTTGAAATGCAATTTATTTGAGACGACCTCAAAACTTGACAACTCCCCAACTCTGGGACCACTTGAAGATGGATGGACTTCAACTCCCAGGATTCCCCAGCCAGCTTTCATTTCCCCCCCCCCCTTCTTTTTATCATTGTAGGCCACCTAGAGTAGCCCCACAGCGAGATAGGTGACAAATTTAACAAATACATAAATTACTTAGCAACAACAGTTTTTTGCCATCCTTTTTTTTTAAAACTAAACTGGGTTTGAAAACTGCAAAAAAAAAACAACAAAAAGGCACGGACATGCCCATTGCCAACCTCCCGCAAAGAGCCCTCTTGAGGACTAGTGGATGGATGGACCGATAGGCACATAATTCAGGGCAGTTTAACAAACCCTGTTGCAAACAACACTAAGAAATCCGGTCCTTGAAAGTTGTGGGTTCTCCATCACGGGAGGTTTTCAAGAAAAGATTAGATAGCCGTTTGTCTGGAATGGTATAAGGTCTCCTGCTTGACCATAGGGTGGACTAGAAGACCTCTGATGTCCCTTTCAGCAGCTCTCCTTGAACAGGTGACGTAGTGAACCGTGTCTAAAATCAGGCAAACTTGGTGACTTCTTTACCGTGAATTTCCATGACCTCCTTTAATATTACATATATATGTATACACATACATACATACATACATACATATATATATATATATATATATGTATACACATACATACATATGTATGTATGTATGTATTTTTAAAATGTACCATTTGCAGCCAGACGTTGGTGATGAGGACTTGATTCTTTTCGTCCTGCAAAAAAAAAAGAAAAATGTTTCTTAGAAACACCTAAAAAGCCTCACACTCTTTAAAAATTCAAAAAGCACTCTTAGCTCCAGGCAATTTTGTTTAATCCTAAAGCAGTCCTCGATTTACGACCGATTCAAACTTACAACCTACATGGAAAAGGGGGATTTACCTGGCGGTTCTAACATTTGAATGGTCGTTTTAATCCCCATTCCTTCCCCACTCCTGGGAGAAGGATATTGCAAAATCCCCATTCCCACCCCACTCCCGGGAGAAGGATATTGCAACTCCCCATTCCCACTCCACTCTGGGGGAAGGGTATTACAAAATCCCCATTCCCTTCCCACTCCTGGGGGGGGAAGGGTATTGCAAAATCCCATTCCTTCCCACTCCTGGGGGAAGGGTATTGCAAAATCCCCATTCCCACTCCACTCCTGGGGGAAGGGTATTACAAAATCCCCATTCCCTTCCCACTCCTGGGGGAAGGGTATTGCAAAATCCCCATTCCCACCCCACTCCTGGGAGAAGGATATTGCAAACTCCCCATTCCTTCCCACTCCCGGGAGAAGGATATTGCAAAATCCCCATTCCCACCCCACTCCTGGGGGAAGGGTATTGCAAACTCCCCATTCCTTCCCCACTCCTGGGAGAAGGATATTACAAAATCCCCATTCCCACCCCATTCCTGGGAGAAGGATATTACAAAATCCCCATTCCCACCCCACTCCTGGGATGAAGGATATTACAAAATCCCCATTCCCACCCCACTCCTGGGGGAAGGATATTGCAAACTCCCCATTCCCACCCCACTCCTGGGAGGATATTACAAAATCCCCATTCCCACCCCACTCTGGGGCCAGCCAGAGGTGGTATTTGCCGGTTCTCCGAACTACTCAAAATTTCCGCTACCGGTTCTCCAGAACCTGCTGGATTTCAGCCTTGCGTGGAGCCCAAAATATCTTGGAATGTAGAGGGATGACTTCAGCTGGAAAATCAGGAACCTGCCGGAGATGTCCATGTTTTGGCGTTCATCTCCAGAACTTACCAGGTCCATGATCTGCATAAGACTGAGGGTGAAGTGGACAGTGATGGCTTGGGCGTCATCGCCCACGGGTCTCTCCAAGGGGAGGTAGTCTTCCATCAGGTCCTTCAGCAGTTGCCGCTGGTGGAGGCCTCCTTCGGAGTCTGCAAACCAAGAGTTGGACATGAATGTTGAGGAGAACATCAAGATCCAGAATTTGGGGAGATGTTTTTTCCTGGAATCTCCTGCTCTGGCAAGTCCATCTCCGTGCTGAGGTGCTTGGCTTGCCCTGAAGGTTAAAAGACAAGGGTGCCTCTGAGCCGTTAGAAGAGTGCTGCTCAACCTTCTTCTTCCGAAACTTTTCTTTTCTTGGATTTATCCATGGTTGAAATGCTCAATAAATCGCGTGACAGCGTGTGTCGCACATTGGCGGTTGTGACACATATTTTGAATGACGGGGAGCCGAAGGAAAAGGGTAAAAGAGCCACATGCGGCTCCAGAGCCGCAGGTTGCTGACCCCTGCTCTAACCCAACCTGATCTTTTCACCCCAGATTTAAATCCCCTGACCCAAAGACTTGCCCCCCCTCCCCTTCCGCCCCGTACAAATTGCATCACAGAAGAGTCAGAAAACTCGTGCCACCCCCTCCCACCCCCCACGGCTCTGCTAATGCAAATCTGCCAGCAGGGATCTTGAATGGAAGGAGGGGGGAAAGGTGCCCCCCCCCATCCCAGGCCCTCAAGGAACTCTCCAGCCCTCCCTTCCCCGCCCCCCCTCCCTCCCTTCCCCATTCAGCAAAGCAGCAACGCAACATGCAAAAATTTAACTCCCGTAGGCAGAGAAGAGGGATGCATGGGCTTGCGTGCCCGCAAAGCAGAACGACACACAAACGCACAAAAGGGGCAGAAGGCAGAGTGTGGCAAAATAGAACACACATACATCCACACACAGACACACAAACACAAACACACACCAGCCGAGGCTCAATGAGAAAGCTATTCTGAAGGACAGCTATCCAACCCCCAAACAATATTACCCATTGAAGCTGGACCTGAAATGGGGGGGCAAAAAAATGGAATTTGGCGTTTCTGGAAACCTTCAAAGCAGACGGTCTGAATTCGTAAGGGGGGGTATAAAACCCCTTTCCCAAACCCCAGGGGTTTTTAGCTCCCCCCCCAAAGCCTTTTGAAGCCACACACCTGCTCCTGCCAGGTTACGATGCCAGTGAGGAGACGTGGGCAGGACAGGTGGGTGGCTGGAGAGGAAGAGGAAGGAGAGGAAGGAAGAGCCTTACCTGGGAAGAAGAGGAAGAAGAAGAAGGCGAGGAGGCGAGCGGAGGAATCCGTATCCATGTCGGTTTGGAAAAAAACAGGATTTAAATTCCCCCAAATCTTTCCTGCCTGCCTGCCTGCTTTGGACCAGAGAGCGGAGGAGAAGGAGAAGAGAGGATGTACAGCTTAGCAAAGACAGAAAAATCAAACCGTCAGGAGAGGAGGAGAGAGGGAGGGAGGGAAGGAGGGAAAGGAAGAAAAAAAGAGAAAGAAAGAAACTGCATTCCAGCCATCCTTCATCCCTTTTACAGAGGGGCCTAAAGCATCTCTCTCTCTCTCTCCTGGAGACCCCCTCCCCATTTCCGAGGAACGCACACACACTACCCCCCCCCCCCAGAATGAGAGAGGCAGGCAAAAGTGTGGGTGGGCTTGGAGAAGGGACAAGGAGGCGGGAGGGTCTGCAGGCAGCCAAGATGGAGAGGCTGCAGCCAGCCAGCCTAGAGGAGGAGGAAGAGGAGGAGGAGGAAGAGGCCAGGCTGGAAATAACTGGGCCATCGCCCCCCCCCCCCCCCCCCCCCCCCCCCCCCCCACCCCTGACCACCTCCTCCTCCAGCCCTCTCTGACCACAGAGTCAGCTTCCATCCTCCAGAGGCTCGCTTGGCCAGGCTGCCATCCCAGCAGGAAGCTCCTCGAAGCCTGGCAGGGCCAGCCTAGGGGGTGCCCTAGAGGTCATCCAGTCCAGCCCCCCTTCAGCTATGGAATTAGCAGATGCTGGGGTCATGCAGGTGCTTTGCTAGCTTCTCGATGGAGGGTGTGGGGGCGGGAGGATTATTTCTCTCCATTTTATGCAAGTGAATGCAAGAGTCCTAAAATTCATTTTTTTTTAAAAAAAAAGGATCATGCCTTCTCCACTTGCCGGGAAGATCCGACTCTTGTTTTCTCTTGTCCCTCACCTTCTTAAATCCACCCCTCCCTTGAATATTGTCTTCGCTTCCTTAAGGAACGAGGGCCAAGATTAGAGCTGAAACATTTTTTTTTTAAAAAAAAAACCCCACCAGCCAAGTTTCTAGTCCCTGTTGTCAGCGAGATGTAAGGAAAGGAGACCAAGAGATTGGATGCCAATCTGTTTGCTCAGCAGACCCAACGTGAGGAGGCCGTTTCCAATATTCTGTGCTAAAATGCACACAAATAGTCTTCTTGTTGTTTTTTTAAAATAAACTGGAAAAGGGAACGTGGGAAAGTCTCGCACTCACATCCACCCGGGATTCTTCCACACGGCGGTTAAGTTTTCCAAACCGAGCCCCGGTTTTCAACCACAACAGCTGCAGTGCTGGAGAGAACATTTTTGCTTCCTTGAATGGTTTTTCACCCTGCGTGGCACGAGAATCCCCCCCCCACCCTCCACCCCCGTGGGTGTGAAAGCATTCGTTGGAAGTAGATTCTTGGCACAGGAGGAGGGAGGGGGGGATATGTGGAGGGACTGGGGGGGGGGAGAATGCCCAGCAGGCAAAAAAAATAAAAATAAAAATACCCATTTAATGGAAATTCAGCCAGGCTTCCTGTTCTGCCCCCAAAGCTGGAAATCTCACGGGCGCTTGAGCAAAAACTGGATTTTTAAAAAATCTGCAATTTGCACAATGGTGTGTATGAGAGATCCATCTGTCCGTGTCTGTCTGTCTGCATGTATAGATAAGATAGATAGATATAGAGGATGGATGGATGGATGGATGGAAGATAGGTAGGTAGGTAGATATAGAGAGATGAGAGATAAAGAGATATAGAGATAGATATGAGATGATGGATGGATGATAGGTAGGTAGATATAGATGATATAGATAGATAGATAGATAGATAGATAGATAGATAGATAGATAGATAGATAGATAGATAGATAGATGATAGATAGATACGAGATGATGGATGGATGGATGATAGGTAGGTAGAGATAGATAGATGATAGATAGGAGATGATGGATGGATGGATGATAGGTAGGTAGAGATAGATAGAAGATAGATAGATAGATAGATAGATAGATAGATAGATAGATAGATAGATAGATAGGAGATGATGGATGGATGGTAGGTAGGGATAGATATATATAGATAGATAGATAGATAGATAGATAGATAGATAGATAGATAGATAGATAGGATAGATGATAGATAGATACGAGATGATGGATGGATGGATGATAGGTAGGTAGAGATAGATAGATGATAGATAGATAGGAGATGATGGATGGATGAGATAGGTAGGTAGAGATAGATAGAAGATAGATAGATAGATAGATAGATAGATGATGGATGGATGGTAGGTAGGGATAGATAGATAGATAGATAGATAGATAGATAGGATAGATAGATAGATAGATAGGAGATGATGGATGGATGGTAGGTAGGTAGGTAGGGATAGATAGATAGATAGATAGATAAGATTTTCGCTGAATAAACGTAAACCATCATGTCAACTGCCATCCCTTTGTGGGCTGTTACATACATAGAAGAAAGCGAACCAAATGAAGGCTGGGGCCGTTTCATCGAATAAATCAATTTATTTAAAAGAATATGTTACAATTAGTTGTACTAATTGATTCTTACCAAACAATTTTTTTTTGTTTTAGAGTAGTTAGCTCTAAAGATGAAGAATGCCCTAACCCGCCTCCCCGTCCCCCGCCCCCATTTCTCCGAGCCCTTTCTTCCTTCTTCGCCAGGATATTCCTTCTTCACACCCCAAAATCGCAAACAAACAAACAAAGAAAAAAATAACGAGGAATATGCAGTGAAAAATTACAATTAGAAGTCTGTCAAATAAATTAAAACAGTGAGAGAGACGCACACGGAGAGCACCAGGGATCCCAGGGCTTAAATGTATATATATATAAATATATATATATATTTATATATATATTTTGAACCTGAACCAAGGAGATTTTTAAAAGAAAAAAAAAGAAAAGAAAAAAGAGGAAATTTGAGGGACATGGAAACATTTTTTTCCCCCCCTTCCAGCCTTTCTTTGGATAGCAGACTGGGATGTTAAAACAAATCACAAATCCTGTAACGGAAAGAAATAATCGGAAGTTCGGAACCTTTTAAAAAAACAGCGATGGGGAAAAAACACACCGGTGGGTTTTTCTTCGCAACGAAATGCTGGATTTTTAAAAAAGGTTGCATTCTTAGAGGAATAAACATACACTTACACATAGATTTGATTCGCTCAGAAACGGGGTCATTTTTGCAACTCAAAACTCTGGGAAGCCAAGCCACGAAAACACGTTTTTTGATGGAAGAAACAAACTCTTCGGAAGTTTTGTTACCCAGCTGAGAGCTGTTGGTCCTTCTCCCCCACCTCATCCTCCATCTGCGAGTCCCTTCGGACCCCTCCCATCCCTCGGAAACCTGCGATGGTTTGCACACCCAGGGTCAACCTAGCAGGGCTGTTGTGTGCCAGACCAGCATTCCTGAATCGACCCACTAAGGCATCGTCCCCAAATCCTTGTTAAGAATGAGAGGTAGGTATTTTTCCACTTTGGCACTCTCCAAGATATATTACTTCCAATGGATACCTTCCGTCTACTAAGGCGGCCAAATTTGCACTCTGCGCAGCCCAGTTGGCACGTAGAAATGAGGATGCCTGTACTCTCGGGTTTTTTCTCGGTGTTGTTGGCTTCGGGCTAAAGCAGTGACGGCGAACCTTTTGGGCACCAGTGCAACTGGTTGGTGCACACACATTTTTGGCTGTTTTTTGGGGCCGTTTTCAGGGCCAGAAACGGCCTGAAAATGGCCAAAAAACCCAGCCCAAAAATACCCTGGAAAACAGTCTGGAAAATGGCCTGTTTTGGGCCATTTTTCAGGCTGTTTTCCGGCGCTCCGGCACCCGCGAAGACCAGCATGCCTGCCGGAAACCAGAAGAGCAGCTGCCGATGGCCACGTGCCCACAAAGAGGACCCTGCATGCCACCTCCGGCACCCGTGCCATAAGTTCGCCATCCCGGGGCTAAAGCAAGGGGCTAGTCCTTAAGGAGATGTGCCCTTCTAAGCACATCCTAAGCTCTGATAAAATGTCCAGAAGGATCTTTTGTTGGACATGGAACAATTGCACGCTTTTTAGTGCAATCAGCATCATCTCTGTCCTTCGAGGGCACACGGTTACCATTACTCCCTTGCTCCTCTGAGGTCCGGCGGACGCCCTTTTTACTGTCCCAGGCAGGTGCCACCACTAAATAGTCCCCCGATGCTGAAAAACACACACATTTCTCTAATTATGTGACTAGACCCACTCGTTTCCCCCTTCCTGCAACCTGGTCTGTCTGCGGGACTGTTTTTGTGGTTAGCAACCAGGCCTCAGCTCCCGAGCAACGAATTAGCAAAAGGGCTTTAAAAGCAGAGGGGGGGATTTAATTTTGCAGGCAGAGAGCCAAACTCAAGTCCCCATCCAACACCTTAGAAGCCAATTGCAATTTCTACTTTCGGACTCCCGGAAAAGGAGAAAAACTACTAAATTCTCTCCTCTTTCTTCAGCCCAAGAGAAAATCTGAAATGCCAAAGCTACGAAACCAAGGAAGCTTTTCAAAGCCACGCGGGGAAGGGGAAAACGACAAGCACGGAAGCTGAATTTTTGCGAAGGATTTAAGAGAGATTTTTTCTCCTCTCCACTGCTGCGTTTTTGTTTTTTTTGTAAAATCCAAAGGTTGGTCGAGAAAACTCCCACTTTTTTCCAAGTTTAAACTTCAACGTTTCTTAAGCTGCAAAATCCAAATTCCTTGCAAGAAAAGATTGCAAAATCTGGGTGGGTTTTTTGTTTTTAAAAACAGGGTTTCAGGCCTCGCCGAAGCTCTGATGGGGGACACAAGAAGGGAAGCTCTGATTTAGAAGTCCCTCTAACGTAACAGCCTCAATATGGAAAAAAAAATTATATATATATATATGTATATATAAGGGCGTGATAAGTTTGTCTCTCTATATATATATTTGCTTTTGTTTTGTTTTTTTACATACATACATATATATTTCAGACAGTGCAAACGGATGTAGGGGTCTCCATCCAGTTGTTAAAAGAAAAACGGGGGGGGGGATTGTTCAGCGCCGTCTTATCTTTCAACAACAGGTGACTCCGAAAATGGCTACCCCCCAAAAGTAAAAATTAAACATTTTCTGGAAACAAGAAACTGGGTGCCCCACAACCTTGTACTGGATCACGGTGGTCTCCCTCCCTCCCTCCCTCCCTCCCACCCACCCCCGCTTAACAGGACATTCACAAATGGAATTAATATGAGTTTAATACAGTAAACCGTTCCCCTCTTTTCTTTCTTTCTTTCTTTCCTTCCTTCTCTCTCTTTTCTTTTCTCCTCGTTTTGAAAAGTGTTAATTTGTTTTTGTTTTGTTTTGTTTTTCCAGGAAGGGTTTTGGGGTTGGGGTGGGGGGGAAAAGGGGGGATAATACGGTTTTTCGGTTGGTCGGTTTTTCCGAAGCGGTTTTCAAGTCGCGATGTCTCGTTGCTCTGTCCGCATTAACTGGAAGATGTTCTGGGAGAGGAAAAAAAAAAAAAAAAGGAGGGAACGAAGGGAAGAGGCTGAAAACGAGCAGGTGGGTATGGAGGGGTATGTTATTTCCTCCAAGACAGGCTGTCCCACCCCACCCGCTCCTCCAAAAAGGGGGACACAGACGGGGAACAGGAGTGTTCTCAGGAGGTTTTGGTGGGGACTCCCCCACTTGAAATGCGGGAACACACAAAGAAATCGGGGTGCTCCCACCGAAAAGCGCTGGGGATCACAGCTAATCTCCTCCTTTTGCTGGCCCCTCTCATCTGGAGGGGGATGTAAACTGCGGGGGCGGGGGGGACAGGTGGAAAGGACCACGGACCACGGCTTCTGTCGCCGACCCAGATATGGGGGTCACATCCTTCCTTCAAACAGAGAGGGGCCCCTGTTTCAGATGTCGGAGACTCCGAGGGCCAGGGGAAGAACGTGCCAGGTGGTCTACTAGGAGAGCCAGTTTGGTCCGGTGGTTTAAGGCGCCAGAGCAGAAACTGGGAGATGGGGAGTTCTAGTCCCAACTTAGGTACGGAACTTAGACTGTGAGTTCTAGTCCTGATTTAGGCATGGAAGGCAGCTGGGTGACTCTGGGCCAATCACTAGGAGACTGAGAGTTCTAGTCTTGATTTAGGGATAAAAGTTGGCTGGGTGACTTTGGGCTGATCACCAGGAGACTGGGAGTTCTAGTCCTGCATCAGGCATGAAAGCCGGCTGGGTAACTTTGGCCCAGCCCCTCCCTCTCTCTCAGCCCAGGCCAGCCCGCCTCACAGGGTTGTTGTCGTGGGGAAAACAGGAGGAGGAAGGAGCGTTAGGTCTTACTGAGTTATTGATAGAAATAACGGCGGGGCTACAAATAAAACAAAAAGGAACAACAGCCAATCCTTTTTTTCCCCGCTTCTCACCTTGCTGCACAGACTGTCTTTACTGCAGTTCTTGTTGTCCTTGTCGGTGGCTTCCTCTTCCACCTTTCAAAGGAAGACACGGGAGGAGTTGAGGCAGGCCGGGCGCAGGGAGTTCTAGCGCCAAGAGGGCTCCTGCCTTCCACGGGAGGCCTCGCCTGGCTTCTATAGGAAGGGAGGGAGGGGGAGGGGTTCCCACTGGACGGCACCGGCCCTCCCCACCCCCGCCTGGCCCTCCCCACCTTCACCTCCTTCCGCCACTTCAATTCGCAGAAAATGCGCTCGAAACACTCGTGCATGTAGTTGAACTGCAAGGAGAGAGAAAAAAATCCGAACTCAGGGCCTGGGGCTCTAACCCGGCCTCTGGCCCAGCTCCTTCCTCTTGCCGGGGGTCTGGGACCCACCCCGCCCTACCTCCTCTTTGCCCGCCACCGTCTCCGCTTACGTAAGGGGTGAAGATTTTGACCCATCGCGGCTTCTTCTCGCCTCGCGCGTATTCGAAGCAGAACGCCATGCCTTCTTCGTCTGTGTCCCATCGCTGCATCTCGTCCCATTCGAAAGCTATGACTTGATTCTGGAAGGATCTCAGCAGGATCAGTGCCCGGATCCGGAAGGGAGCACCCCCCCCCCCACAACCCCAGGGATCCAGAGGTGGGAAAACGTTGGAAGCTTCGAGGGTTCAGCCAGTCTGCACCAGGGGCTTCCCAAACCTTTGGTGTGGACTTCAACTCCCAGAATTCCCCAGCGCCAGGGGAAACGCGGGGGGTGACAAGTGTGCGTGTCCGCACCCATAATTCTATGCTCCCCACGCTTTTGGCACGTGATGGCACGGTGGGCCCCGTAGGCCCGTTTTTTGCTCTCCCCAGACTCCAGAGCCACCCTAGGAGCCTGGGGAAGGTGAAAACAGCCTTCCCCAACTGCCCGGAGGCCGGAAACGGCCCATTTGCCGACTCACCAACCCACGTACCCGTCCCCCCATGGCTGACCTCAAGCTGGCCCTCCTCGGTGCAAGCGTGGAGCTTAAAGTGCTGGATGCTGATGGCTGTGAGGACGTGGCCCTTCCGGCGAGAGTCGCAGGAGCAGTGAGGGAAGACAATCTCGTTGTAACCCTCGCACGTCCGCAACATGTTCAGGTACTGTGAAGGGGGGGGGGGGGGGGGGGGGGGGGGAGAAGGGGAGAAGGGGGATGAAAGATTTGGGGAAGGGGTCTCTCCACCCACCAGGCCTCCCCAGGAATCCAAGTTAGCTCTCCGCAACAGGCTGGGTTGCAACTCAAGACGAGCGCCAAGAAAACTTTATTTATTTGGGAAATGTTTTATGTGCCGCTCATCTCGGGCGGGCGGTCCTCGACGTACGACCACAAGGGAGCCCCCAATTTTCTGCTGCTGAGGGAGACCGTTGTGAAGCGAGTCGTTTCGCCCCATTGCACGGCCTTTCTTGCCAGAGTGATTGTCAAGTGAATCGCTGCCCTTGTTAAGTTAGCGACGGGGTCGTTAAGCGAATCTGGCTTCCCCCGTTGACTTTTGCTCGTCGGAAGGGTCGCAAAAAGGGGATCGCGTGACCCAGGGACAACTGCGACCATCATAAATAGGGGTCAGTTGCCAAGCTGGGGTTTGGTCATGTGAAAAGCGGGGTCCACTGCAATGGTCGTTAAGTGTGAAAAAAACCGGCCGTAAATCACTTTAGTGACTTTGAACGGTCACTAAATAAACGGCTGTAAGTCGAGGACTATTTGTATTTCATGATTCTGGCCGCCTAACAGACTAGTGGAAAGAGCCCGTAACTCAAACGCTTCCTACCAGAAATCCCAAAGATGCTTTTTTTTTTCAGAAGGCAACTGAACTTTGTTTTCCTTTAAGTCATGTCGCTCCACATCCAAGAAGCTTCTTCAGGTTCTGACGGAATGATGGGAGAACGGAAGGATTTCTATTCCTTGCAGTCCTCTGGTCGTTGGCACTCTTGGAGGTTGGCCTGTGCCCTCAGGGTCTCCTGAATCCTGTAGTCGGGTGACCTCCAAGCGGCCTCAACGACTCTCAGAGAGAGCGCCAACGACCAGAGGACTGCAAGGAATAGAAATCCTTCTGCTCTCCGCCATTCCGCCAGAACCTGAAGAAGCCTCCTGGATGAGGAGCGAGAAGTCTTAAAAAAAAAAAAAACCCCAAGAAAGTCCAGTCGCCTTTTGAAAGACAGCACCTTTGGGACAACCATGACCTGGATGACCCAGAATCTCCACAGATGTTTTCCACCGGAAGTGGAGACGACCTTACCATGACCATCTTCCTCTGCTCGCCAAGCTTCTGCAGCTGGTAGGACTTCTCCTCGGCTTTGATGTAGCCTTTCTTCACGTCGTCGACCGCCTGGGTGAGGGAAAACATGGGGTAAAGGGACCATTCCAAAAAAGAAGGGGGTTTCCTGCTTTCCTACAATCCCTCCTTCCTCCTCCTCCTTCTCCGTGACTGCGTCAAGCTTCCAGTCCTCATGGCGGAAGGTGGCCGATCAAGTCAGAAGAGCTGAAGAAGGAGGAAGGAGAAGATCCCTTAAATTTCTTCTGGCTGTGTTGTGGCCCGTCAGCGGCTTGTGCAGCTAGTAGCTGATTCCGACAACGAGGAGGCTGGTGCGGTGATGCACCAGCAGCCTGTGCAGCTGGCACTCGAGTCAGACAGTGAGGAGGCTGGAGAAGATGTGGTGCCAGAGGCGGGGATTCAGCCAGGGACTTCAGACCTCCAGAAGCTCCCTTAAGACGAAGAGGAGGAGCCTCTTCTCGATGCAGAACTGTTAAAAGGCAGGAGTGGCTCCTCAGGAGGAGGTCTCCTCGAGAGTAAGGCTTGGGGCTAATTGGCCACTCCCCTAGCCTATTTAAGGAAGGACGACGACTGAGGCAATTTGCAGGAAACAACTTCGTTCATATTCCTTTGTGTCTTGATTCCAGAAACGTCGGCTCTTGCTCCTTTCTGGTCAGTTTTCCTGCAAATTGCTTCTGGGCATTCGGCCAAGCACAGTAAGATTACGGTTATCTGAAATACTGTGCCTCAGAATTGAGTTATTATTCTTTGGATTCTTGTTGGCTGTTAATGAAGTTAAATGAACAGCCCTTGTTCAGAAAAGACTGATTTAAACTGTGCTTGTGTTCGAACAACTACTAGGGTGCCGTCGGTCAAGCAATGCCGACTGACGACCCCCAGGGGGAGAGCCTTCTCTGTGGGGGCACCCGCCCTCTGGAACGAGCTACCCCCAGGAATACGACTAAGCCCGGACCTCCGGACCTTCCGTCGAGCTTTGAAGACCTTCCTATTTCAGCAAGCTGGGCTGGCTTAAAATTTTAATGGGTTATTTTAAGGGTAATGGGTTTTAATGTTTTGGGAAGCCAATTCGATTTAATTCTGCTTTTAAATTATTTTAAATTTTGTATTGCATGTATTTTAATTTTGGCTGTGCACCGCCCTGAGTCCTTCGGGAGAAGGGCGGTATACAAATTTAAATAATAAATAAATAAATAAATAAATAAATAAATAAATAAATAAATAAATAATAAAATAAATAAAATAAATAAATTACTAAGAAAACTCATTAGTAGTCCTTAATTAGCTGGTAGTGCCCTCCTGTAGAAAGATTCATTCTGCTCCTTCAACCCC